GAATTTAGCCAGACTTTTAACAAGAGGAGGGTGGCCCTGAGGAAACGAATCACAAGCAAACAAATGGGAACTCAGAGAATTAATCATGATTACCTTCAGCTACCTTCTGCTTAATCGGATTAAAAAAGGCTTTCATGTACAAGGGTTTATGTCCACCTATGTGAATAAACACACTTACAAAGGCCCGAGTGTACTGGTGCATGGAGGGTCCTCCACTCACGGCTTTACAGAAAGCCTCCTGGATGAATGGCGGTGGGGAGAAGTCAGGGAAGCCCTGTCCAAGGTTGACAGGTTTGTAGTCCGCAGCCAATTGAGTGAATTCAACCCTGTTGATGAAAGCGGTGACTAGGAGTTAAAGAATAAGCTATCACGTGTGACTAAAGTCATGGTCTCCATGATAAGTGAGTCCAAAGAGAACTGCCAGTATATTTAAAAAAGAGGATGAAATTATTTTTCAAAATAAAAGCATATGGGGAATCCCATGTCAGAAATTAAATTTCTCCTACTGCTATTAACTCTGATGGCGATTAAACACACCTGCGTCCTTCTCCCTTTTTAGTTTAAGTCAGAATTGGAATTTTTTATGTCAATGTCATAAAAGTTCGACGAAATGTAACTGTGTCTGAGCTGTAGGTCTGTCATTGCGCACGCCGTTAAAGGGTAGAGTCGCCCTGTGATCCACCAATCTCGACTTTGACAGCAGTTAAAACCAAACGTATAAAAACTTTTGATTGGAAATACAACGTCGCTAACATGAGAATAACACGAGTAAACTTACAACTTATTACTTACCACACGTTCTTATCAACGCCGTGCGTCCTGCGTGCATTCAGTGGTCTTGACATGATCGTCTGTAATAACAGCACTACTTTTTAATGCATTTAGAATTTTAGAGAAGGTTATCGGCTGCTCAGGCTGATTTCCACTTACCCGCTTCTGATTTCTAGAGAGGATATAACGCACTGTAAACAAGAAAGGAATCAGTTTTTGGCGTATTAGCATTAGATAAGGAGCAGCCACACAGTGGAGGTGTTCCAATGAGAAAATGACACCGACCCCGAGCTGCAATCTGCTAACTAACATGGGTAGTTAGTTAAAAATCACCAGTATTTAATACTGCTGCTGTGTTATGTTACTTCTTCCTAGTGGGTGGAGTTACATTGTGTCGCGTCACTGCCTCTATTAACTCGCTCTCTCTTTTGTATCCAAAATTTTTTTTGCCAGAAATATTACATTTTTTAACGACCGAAAAAAAAATGTAAGCAGAAAACCTGAAAACAAATGAGGCCGATGTAACAAAAAAAATCACCCCGGGAAGAAACCTCACGCGGCCATAAATAAAAACGATTTAAAATGGTCGCAACGCTAGCCAAAATGTAGCTGAAGTTCCGTTTAGGGACAGAACTGGACGCTATTGCAAGATTGGGAAATTTCCAAATGATTCCAAATTCCTGTGTTTTTTCTATTTTACCCCACAGTTTTTAATAATTATTATTTTGTTCAAGGATAATCATACTTTCATAAAATAAAGTGTTAAAATGTCAAATGTAGTTTTGAAATGAAACTTAATGTGGCCAATGCATTAACCCATATGTTTCGATTTTTTTAAACCGCTTAGAACCACCAAAACGACAGGCAGCCACAAAGATAGAAGAGAAGATATAAATAAGAAGCCTTATACTGTCTTTTAAGTTAACAAAGAAATAATTAAATCAGAGGAGGAAGACAACAACAGGTTATTTTAAAAACATCAACTCTTGCAGAGAAGAATTGCATTTTATTGACAATACCATCATATTCTTTCTTCACCGACAGAATGTACAGTATTACATCTGTAGTAACAAAGAAGTATTACTCAATGAATCAAATTGTCAAATAATAAGTTGTTTGTTTTTACCTTTGTGCTTTTTTCGTAATAATAAAACAACTCTTTCCTCTTTCTGTTACAGTGCTACCTTTTTCAAGTCCTCTGGCAGAATTCTGCCTTTCTTTCGTGCTCTGTCCTTCTTTTTCTCCGTTTTCATCTGCTTGCGTTTCTGAATGTTCCTCTGCCTCTTGTCTTGACGCTGCTGCATCTTCCCTATGATATTCTCGCTGCGCGTGGCCCATGTCTTCTTTCTCTGGTCACGTCTCTTCTCCTTGTTCTTCAGCCTGGTGCGCAGCATGTTTTCATCATCTTTGATCTTGATGCCCTCTGCCTTATAAAGGAGGTTGGTCCATTTCATCTTCTCCTCCATCTGACGGGCCTTCCCTTCATCTTTCTCCCGCAACTTCTCCACCTTTTCCTTACGTGCCTGCACGCGGCTAAGCAACTGCTTGTAGTTCTTTCCCGTCAGTGGCGTCAACTCGCCTTTAGTCACCTGTTTCTTGTTCTTCTTTTTCTGTTCTTTGCTTAAATAAACACTTTCCACAGTTTCTATCTTGTTGAAGACAATACTGGTTTCGTTCCTTTTGCTTGCAGCAGGGCCCGGTGGTTTTTCCTGCTTTGTCTCTACCTGCTCTACCTCTTCGCCATTTTCGTCAGCCAGCTTCTTCATTTGGAACTCCTTCCTCTTTCTCTTCTTGCGCTCCCTCTCCAGCTTTCTCTTTGCTCGCTTTGCCAGGACAGCCTCTGAAGGCGCATGTGGGGCTCCCTGGTAGACAAATGTTCAGAACAGAAGAGAAAAAAGTATGAGTTGGTTTATTTGTTTGTGTTCAACATGCAATCCTGGTGCAAAACAGTCCATAGTCCTGGTAATATTTATATATTTATCTGTACAAACCACTGTATGAGTATGAGATTAATTAAATCAGCTACAATGCTGCCATCTAGTGACTTTCACTTAAATATACAGCTGTTTCTCCCCAAAACAATTTTTAGGGTACACATCATTTGGCAAAACCCAGACATTGATTCTTACAGATATTACTTAATATGCTAATATCTGGCCGATATTATCGGACTTCCCTACTTAATACTCCATGGAGCACATATAGAACGGTGTGCCTGACATAGTTGTAAACAACATGAGTTTGAATCAACTTGCTTTCCTCATATGCACAAAACAGAAAAGTCTTCTTCATCTATGAGTACGATTGACATCGGTTTGATTTACTGTAAAGCAGTAAGAAAATAAAATAAAAACTTCACACCTGTCCTCGGGACTCTTCAATCTTTTCATGTAACCTCTGGCGTAGAACGTCTACTGTTGAGAAGTTGGACTGGACTTTAAAACCTAGGAAAATACAAACAAATAGAAAATTAATAACTACCAAATCAAAAACAGAAACACAGACAGTTGTACTAGAATCAGTGTCAGTAGTTTGTCATTTGTGGAATAAATCACATACAAAACTCTGTACCTTTAGACGTCTGTGTTATGGATCCATTTCTGCTATCATCTTTGGGGCCACTTGGTTTTCCTGTTACTGAGCTTTTGTCCAAAGTCTTCGGTTTAGATAGGTTTGTCTTCTCATCTGTGTGCCTTTCTTTTGCATGTTTCTTTTTACACTTTTTCTTCTTCTTTGGTGCACCAATATCAGTTTTTCCTGTGAAATGAGCTACATGAAGAAAAAAAAACCCTCATCAGCCATATGTGGAAATCACATTACCTGAAAGTTAGTTCTGATTCAAGCCAATCCAAATTTCTTTTAGGAGATCAAGTTTTCCCTGAACAACCCACAAAGAAGAGTACCTGGTGATATTACATTTGATTGTTTACTTGTTGGATTTCCAGGATGAACTGAACAAATCCAAATATTACAAATGTATACAAGCGTTACACAAGTATATACGAGGGAGGGTTTTAACCTTTATATTTCTGTGAAGGTGTTTACTTTTAAGCAGTTTAAGCGTTTAACACATGACTTCTTTCCAATAGTGGGATCATCATTATGAAGGAAGTGTGCTCTTAACATTTCTGCAGTATAATTTTCTTAGCACACATCTGTGGATTATGTTAAAGTAACTTTAATTCATTTTCCCATTCGTAATCAGTGTCAAAAATAGTCATACAATTGAATATTATATACAAACCAATGGACATTACATTGGCACATAATTTAATTGTACATTTTAAACGACTCAAGTAGTTTTGCTAAAAGAGACAGACTGTGACCTTTGTCGGATTCAATTTATTACACCGTAGCGCCTCTTGTAGTTTACAGAGGTACTAGTATATTTTTAGTGGTCATCGTAAATGCTTTCCTACTAACGATTACAAGACGTTCGTATTATACATTAAGTCGAGGGCAGTCAAACCGAAGACTAAAAATGAATAAACATTACCAAACGGCCTTTTCTTCGGTGCCTGGTCTTGTTGAGAAAATGCTTTACTTGCGAACTTCTGGATGTAAGAGTCTCTAGATGCGAGATCCATGTGAACAGAAGAGCCGTCACTTTCTTAAATCTTTTTAAAAACAACTAAATGTAAACCATCAAAACACACTGTCCACACGTGGGTCAAAAAAGTGGGGCGGGGCGAAGATGAACCGGATGTTGTAACACCGTAAACCATCCCCCTGACTATCCTGTTACTCAACTATGGGTAATGGCCGTAGGTCTTCTTGCGTTTCTCATCTTGCATTTACGGTAGAAAGCCGCAATTAAATTATTCATTTTACCTGAAAACTGTTGGTTTTAAAAAATAAATATAAGAAATGTTAAAACTTGAAAATCTGTCGCTGCTTACAAACGTACTCTTTGTGGTCTTGACAACTGCCTTTTGACTGCTTACAGCACTCGTACCGTAAGTGCAGAAAGAGAAACGCAACTAAGGTTTACAGAAAGCCAGAAAGGTTGGCTGTCATTGCAGCTGAATTGAATTGTATTTTACAATTTACCACAGTTTCCTTAATATATGTATTTTTAGCATGGCTTCTTTAAGGTCAATGTTTACTAAGTCTTCCAGGATAATAACGGCAATTAAACAGCAGGTAACAATGTCACTGTCGTGTATGTTGTGTAATAGCCTAAATGTCATTTTTATGAGTACATGTTCCAAGTTTATTTAACATTTTGGTGATTTTGTAATTGCAGACAAATGTCATTTATATCAGGAGGACACTGCTGGGGCCCAGGCTACCTCTCTGCAGACGTGTAGACGGTAAAAAAAAGTACACTCGTTGACGCTAAGCAGTTTTTAGTGTGTACACGGTTAAGTCGATCCATCACTCAACAATAACAACATTAGAAATACGTTTTAGATTCGGTTAACGATCAGACAATGTCCGTGTCAACTAAATACAATAATGTAAAGCTGTTGTGTTCAGTTGCGTCATGTTAAAGATGGAGAATCCTCACTGATTCTCATTGATTATATGTAATAGTTTTTTTTAACATGTCCACTCAGTTTTTTTTTTCTTGTTTGGATTCCCAGGCAGGTTTCTAGAGTTTTTGAGACAGTCCAGTTCGACCACAGTCAATGCAGGTAAGGGAGAAGACTCTTTTCTCAAATGGTTTCTGCTGCTCATTCCTGCAACCACGTTTGGTCTCGGCACCTGGCAGGTAAAGTGTATTTATCTTGTACTTTCAGCAGTTACATGCATGACATGAGTTTGATAAATGTTACACTTTGTTATGTTCTTGTGAAGGTAAGGAGACGCCAATGGAAACTGCAGCTGATTGACGATATGACCAGACTCACGACTAAAGAACCCATTTCTCTCCCTCTTGAGTGAGTATGACACAGACCATTCAGCTGTTTGGATTCATCATAAAACAAAAACAACTCTAATTCATAATTTAAAAATAAAATTTATATCAAAACTGGTCAGCTGAGCTGTATCTGTGAGATTTCTATTTTTAAACTTGTCTATTACAAACATATATTGAGAACAACTAATTTTTCTTTCACTGCACTTGTACTTTTTACTTCATATTTGGGATGTTTGATATTAACTTTTTGCCAATATCCAACATGCTGATGTTGTCCAAACATTTAATTTTCTTACTGAAACCCAGGCATTGCGTTATCATATTTTTGTTATCGGAGGAAAAACGATTCTTACGGATATTACATATTATGCTAATATCGGGCTGATAAAATCGGTCAGCTGATATTATCAGGCTTCCCTACTTAATATGCTAAGGCACAAGAAAAAAATCCACTTCATACACCTGTACTGAGATGTTTGTGAGTGATTTTGTACCCCAAAATTCCAGCCCTTTGGAGTTGAAAAACCTGGAGTACAGACGAGTGAAAGTGCGTGGACGTTATGATCACTCAAAGGAGCTTTATATCCTGCCTCGCTCACCAGTGGACCCAGAAAAAGAGGCCAGAGAGGCAGGAAGGTTGTCCTCAAGTACAGAGAGTGGAGCCAATGTCATTACCCCATTTTACTGCACCGACCTCGGGTACGTCACTGCGTTTAAATTCACCAGCTGGACGGTGATTTTCAACTCGTACAGAACTAGTTGTGATCTTTACTGCACTTCACCTGCAGCATAACAATCCTGGTGAACAGAGGATACGTGCCAAAGCAGAAGATCAGACCAGAGACCAGGATGAAGGGGCAGGTTAGTGGATCCAGAGGAGTGACATGTTTGGTCTGGTTCATGTCTGTATTTAAAAGAAAGACGACCTGTCAAGAAGTGCACTGAATGATCCAACAGATGACTGTAAATGTATCATGTCTTGAATGTCCTTCTCCAGTGACAACTTTTCTTTGCCCTTTTCTTCATGATGATGAAGGTGGAGGGGGAGGTGGATGTGGTCGGGGTGGTCAGACTGACAGAGGTTCGCAAACCATTTGTTCCCAATAACGATGTGCAGAAGAACCGCTGGCATTATCGTGACCTGGAGGCCATGTCACAGGTCACGGGCACTGAGACCATCTTCATTGACGCAGATTTTGGTAAAGTCTACTCAAACATCAAAGCTCAAAATAGTTTTTTACACTACGTCGTCATCATCAGTATGGTTAACATTGAGCATCTCACACAGGGAGCACGGTTCCAGGTGGACCAGTCGGCGGACAGACCAGAATTACATTGAGAAATGAACATATGCAGTACATAGTAACATGGTGGGTAAAAAACTGTACAGAAAAATCAAGGTCATACAGTTGTTTTCGTCTCTAGTTAATACTTTTGTGAATAATTCTTTCAGGTATGGCCTGTGTGCTGCGACCTCCTACATGTGGTACGCCAAGTTCATCAAAAAACTCATGTTGTAACAAGTGAGGATTTGTACTGTTAGCTTTAACATGATGCAAATAATGACTACATTATGTAAATAACTAATTTCACAATAAATATCAATTCACATGTTACACTGTGTGATCAATACTTAAGTCAAACTTTAATAACTCAAAGCCTACATTTATATACCAGCCGATCCCACTGAGATACACATCAGACTAGTGGACAGACAGAAGTATTCTTTTGGTTTTTTAGGTTTAAGCAAACTAAATGGAGGCAGGCTGCAATATTTTAGATGTTAGTTAACCTACACCGAACAATACACAGGATTCACAAAAATGTCCTCTGAAGATGCAAACTGCCACTTCAATCATTTTGTGAACCTGTACAACCTTAACAAAATTTAGACAACTGCAAACCAGGCAAACATCTTTGCTGCTGCTACACCAGCTCATCAAACACTAGCCCTAGCAGTGACCAGACAACTTAAAATATACCAGTTCACTAAATGTAATTACTATTTGTTTCATGGTTTGAAGATTTTGATTCTTTTAACTGTCCACTCACAATATTGAATTAGGGTTCAAAATGCGCCACCTGCAGGACATGGAACAGAAGTCATACACTTAATAGCAACAATTACAAAATACTTCTGCCAGTAATTGAACTTTTTAGCCAAGACAGAAACAAATTGGTCAGGTAATTGTGGAAGACGATTTCAACACTTCCATGTACGCATCACATGATCAAGACTGGTGTACTGCCACAGGTTTGAAAGTAATACTAATTTAAATCAAGGTTTTCCCAAATGACCAAGAAATGTAAAACTTTATACCAGTCACCCAAGTACACATCACACAAATCATCATATGGACACGCATTAACAACGTGATCTTTAATATTAATAACTTAATTTTCCCAGTCAAAACCATCACTGCATTAATTGTGCCACTTGTTTGAATAATGACCACTACACTCCAATAGGACATACATTTTTTATTTCAAACAATTTAACCAAGTTTGGTAGCCAGTTCCTTGGCCTTTGCCTTCTCCAGCTTGGCGATACGAGCTGTGGACTTGGGTCCCATGATACCACCGCCCCAGTGACGACGGATCTTAAGAGGGGGAAAAAGAAAAAAAAAGGAAAAATTATTATGTCATATTTCATTAATTATTTGTAACTTAACACTTCTAGTAAACAGGATAATTACCTCCTCGTATCTGTCATTGTAGTTGGTCTTGATAGCTTCAACAAGCTTGGCCAGTGCACCTTTATCCTCACTGAGACAAAAGGTATTGTAACATTAACACACTAAAAATAGTCAAGTTTTTCTATTTGTTGTGATTTGTTAACTTTTTAAAAAAATCCTTTATCTTTCAGGACATACTAGATCACTAAACACACCATCAGATTATTAAATGTCAAAAAATCCCAGAAACGTTACATTCAAATCACATATGTAACCAAAACGGGGTAAAAAGAATACACATTTCCAATAACTGTCCAGAGTTTAGTTCATTGTACTCACGGGTTAATCTGTGTGAAGGCAACAGAAGTGCATGTCTTTCTGTGCACCAGTCTGCCCAGTCTGGCCTTGCCCTTAACAATGCAGTATGGAACGCCCATCTTGCGGCACAAGGCTGGCAAGAAGACAACGAGCTACAAGGACAGCAAATCCAGAGAAAACATCTTAGACATCATGCAAAAGAGTAACAACACAGACAAACCAATAATGTCATATAATTAATTATAATAATGATATGGTCACTGCTCAGGGTTAAAAAGCTCGTGTTTTTGATCCACACAAAAGATTCAGGTGAAGAAATTCAGACATCATTGCTGGTGACCATTTCCTACAGTTGAACAAAAACATTCTGAAGTTTAAAACTGTTCATAAATTTACCTCAATTGGATCAACATCATGAGCAATGATGACCAACTGGGCTTTCTTGCTCTCTACCAGGGATGTGACAGTGTTCACACCTGCAGGACGGAGAGAGAGAAAATATAAATAAATCAGACTTAATTTGTCAAACAATCTTTTGGCATTAGGTGTTTATCAGGCCGATGCTCAGGGTTAAAAAGCTCAAAAACCATCATGGCAAGATTCAGGTGAAGAAATTCAGGTCATCACTGCATCCAGGCAAACTTAGCTTAAGAACATCCTTGCAATAATAGTTTGTTATACTTTACCTGCACGGAGGACTGGGGGCCTCTTGGTTGGGGTGTCTCCCTTTCCAGCAGCCTTCTGCTCAGCACGAGCCAGAAGCCTCTGCTTCTTCTCCTGCTTGGTCTCTGGCCTGTATTTGTGGGCCAGCTTGAACAGCTGTGTGGCTTGATTAAAAAAAAAAAAAGAAAAAAAAAACAAAACAGGTAAACCAAAGAACTCTGGCAGACAAGTCTAAGTGGCTTTTAGGAATTAAGTGTTTTGACTGCTCGATCAGTGATCTTGGTGGGAAATGTCAGCATGGTAAATAAGACTGAAAATATTTATTCACATCATTTCTAAAGCAACACTGGTACAAAACAATCCTCAATAGTTTTTGTGGTCTATGACCATGTGAAAACTCCATTGCTCACCAGTCTGGCGGTCCAGGGCCTGGGTGAACTGGTTGATTGCAGGAGGAACCTTCAGACGTTTGTAGAGAATGGAGCGCTGCCTCTGCAGGCGGATGTAACGGGGCCATTTAACAAAGCGTGTCAAATCACGCTTGGGCTGAATATCCTGGCCTGTAGTAGGAGGTATAATATAATCAGTTTAATGTTTCAAACATAAACAACAGGTCTGCAGCATCCTGGTTTAAGTGCATCAGTGATCTTGGTGGGATGTCTTCATTGTAGTTAAGATAGCAAATATTCTTAACATCATCTGCACTAATACGAGGTACTTCTGCAGCAAAATGCTGTGAACATCACTTACCGATGCCAAAGTTTTTTGGCCTCTTCTCAAACAGGGGGTTCACGACTTTTTTGGCCTCATGCTTCTTGGCCACTGAAGGGGCCGGAGCCACCTTCTTCCCCTTAGCCTTCTTTCCCTTGGGCTGTGGAAAAGGAAAATATAAAATAAATACATACATATGCTTTTGTTGTAGTGTTTTTTTTCCCCTGAAGTGCTAAGATATAGCGTCTACGCATTCGCATCGTGTCCTGATAATGCTAATTGACATGCTATATAAACACAGCTAATTTTGTGTTTACACGACCTAAACTGCAAACATAATACATATACTAAAATTACACTAAGAACCATAATCGCGAGTTTCTGTTGAGCTTCACTGTTTAAAGTCAGGTTAGAGCAAGTAGGGCCATCAATCAGGCCCATTCAACATACCCATGCTAGCTAATGTAGCCGTCACTTTAGTTTTGCCACAACACATTTTTTGCGACCGTTTACGTTACCACGCAGGACATTGTTCGGTAAAACGAAACAATTGTTACAAATTCTTTGACAGATAAAATACTAGCACACAAAAACACAACCAGGGTTAACCTTAGCTTCTTACGGAACAGCAACAGGGTTCCTCGTACCGGTTAGCCTTGTGAAATTTTACCCCTTTAACACCATAAAAACACTATATCGACACACAATATTTAGCGTTAATCATAGATAAGACTTTACAAAAGCCAAAACTACATTTCTAAAAGTATCAACGTGCAAACAGACAAAGATGCAAGCAGATACAACAATTGATATTTCCCTCAGCAAAAAGAGCTTTGTACCCACCATGTCGGTTCAGGCAGAAAGGAAGACCGAGGCATGCTGGGTAACGTAAATACCGCGAGGCTTGCAGGGAGGTTACGTGAGTCCTAAGCCACTGATCTGGAATCAGCTATCACATTCCTTTCAGTCCTTTTGCCGCTTGAAAAGTCCGAGATTTAAAGTTATCAAGCTGATTTGGGATCAGTGTTTGAATGTTGGGTTTCGTGCCGTTTTTCAATTGATTAATCACAATTAATTACAATTAATAAAAAAGACTGCAGTAAAAATGCAAGTTAAATAAAAACACAACACTCTAATTTATATTTTTCCTTATAGGGTTACTTACTTACTATGGGGTAGCGTCGACGACATATATATTTTTTTCGAGGCTGGACTTGAACAGATTTAATAAGAAATGAACCAACTAGATCTTCTGGTTAATAGTTATTTAGGTTAATTTCTTGGTTAATGTATTACACTGTGGAAACAGTGAGAAAGTCCTAATAAATAATAACAAGCAACGGTACTATAACATGAACCTGTAAAGCAGTTATCAAGACAGCCATATTACGTTTTATTTTTATTTTCAGGACCCTTCTAATCCTCCGAATAAAATACTTTACCGCATTTAACCCATCTGTGAAACATTTTGTGAATAGCAATGTTAAGTGTTGTCATATATCATTGATTCGCAACATAAGTAAAATATTAAGTATTGTAACCTGTTGTCATTTTATCATTTAGAATGTTCTTAAAAGGAATAGCAGGCATTTACCAATGTAGATGGCTTTATTCGTGAGTGGTCAATGAGTCATTAAAATAGAGAGCCGTACTATTATAAACTACTAGTTAAAACTTACCGCTAATATCTGCTGTTTAGAGAAACACACAATTGATGCCTTTATACTCTAACTGTGACCTGTATTATCGACCGTCCATAAAATATGGAACAGTTAAGACATGTAAAACACATACTAGAGTGTTGTACACGGACATGAAGTAATAATTTGTAACATTTTGGCAAATGTTTGCGGTAACACTGTACTGTCCCTTTAAGAGAATCTGCGCTCTCCCGTGAACGACGAACACGTTGTGTCAGATGATCGCCGTTGACCACGACACCCCGGCTGCTCTGCCGCTGTGTGGGAGGGGGAGTTGCTCGGAGCTGGTGAGCCGGGGTATCGCGTCTCTCGGCTCAGCTCCGCGGATTCTTGCTAGCAGTGGATCAATCGCAGCCATCGCAGCTGGCCACGAGAATGACATATATCTGCGATCTTTGTGGCAGCTGCTTCCTTTGGTAAATAAGAAATGATCAACTGCAGCCGCTGACATGTCTGCTACTGCTGCAGGGAGATGTTCTCTGAGCTGCCGTTAGTAAACATAAGGCCTGTGACTGTGCAGAGCTGTCACATTCCGTGGACACGTTCATGGGTGTTTTTGACGAGGCAAGTCCAGTTTATGAATGGGTTCAACGTCGGATCTGGATCGCATGTGATGTGACAGCCGGGCACTACAGCTCCTGTTTTTTAGTAGACCACCAATAACGATAGTTTTAGCTACGGCACCCTTTTCTAACACATTACTACAGTGTTGTTACTGCCCTGTCAAAGCATCAGCCATCCCTGTGAAGACAGACAATAGCTATGGCTGATCAAGATCTTTGTCCTCACCTGGACTCTATAGGAGAGGTAACCAAAGAGGACCTCCTCCAGAAATCCAAGGTGGGTTTTCATACATTTACAGTCATTACGTTGTACAGTGTTGAACACAGACACACCAACAGACAGATACATGGAAAAGCCCTGCTTTTGTAAACACATAGGTCCACACATATATGTCCACTCAGCCCACTTTTGTAATAACACTTGTATTTTGTGCAGAGTCTGAACCAGTATTGATTGGAAGTCCAGGAGTTTCAGGGAATGTGTCTTGATTGGAGCATATGCCCCCCCCCCTCCAAAAAAAATTCCATTATAAACATCTGCATTGTCTCAACATTTTCTATGTCCATTGTAGAGACAAAGGAAAATAAAGGAAATACAATGTAATAGACTGTCATAAAGAACAGTATTTCCTTGAGTGTAGTCTGTTTTTTTTTCATTATTTACTCAGTGTTAGGGTCAGTGTCAGAGACTGATCCCATCAGGTGATAGAAGTCTGTGTCTTTAAAAAGATCCAAAATAAACAAATACACTGTTCATAATGCTCTGTATAAAGCACGCTGACAAGTGGAAACACAAAATTGTGGGTGTGCACGTGAAAGAACCAACTACTCCCACATTATTTTCCATTCATTTTCGACTCCTTTTGCTGCAGGGAACCTGTCAGTCATGTGGAGCAGGTGGCCCTAACCTGTGGGCCTGTCTGCAGGTAAATCAAAGACTACAAATCCTTTGCATTTTTGTCATTTTGGAGGTGGTTGAGAGTTTGTTGTGTGCGTAGGTAGTGACGACAGCAGCAGCCATAAAGCCCCACCAGAAGGTGAATGCCCTACAGTATACTTAATGAACTGCGGCACAGATGTAATTATAAAAACAACAGCTTTTACACCTAAAGCGAGTTTATAATTGCTGCTGTGATTTATGAGACTTAAAATTAGACGTCAGTTCAGATAATTGTACAGTTGTCCTGACTGTGATTATGTTGAGGTGAAATACTCATGTTCAAAAGCGGCCATCTTGACTGCTGTTTTGAATATACACAGTCAAATAAAATGAACAAACTTTTCACTAATGTTAAAAAAAGTAAAGATTTTAATTGAGGTTCTGTGAAAAAAAAAAACGAATTAGTTTGAAGATGGGCTCTTTCCAGTATTTTGAATATTTTTGTTGACTCTTTACATTTTTTAAATTAATTTTAAAAAATGTTTTCCACCTGTAGAATGACTGTCCATATGTCGGTTGCGGCGAGTCCTTCTCTGACCACAGCACCCTGCATGCACAGGTAAGAACTTTAAAATGTTGTGCTTCGTGTGTGTCTGCTGCATGTCTGAGTTTTCAGATACTTGTTCATGGTTTATCTTCAGGCTAAAAGACACAACCTCACCGTTAACCTGACCACATTCAGAATCTGGTGTTACGTGTGCGAGCGGGAGGTGTTCCTGGAGCCACGACCCGCCTTGGTGCCGGTACCTACACACCCCCATCAATGCAGAGCGACAGAGCAGGTATGACTCCGTCCCGTCAAGGTCACATTGTTGCTTGGAATGAATAAATGGCCACTAAGTTAGTGTTATACATACATACATAATCTGCCTGTTACATTTCAGGAAGCGACGTCTCTGCCGGCAGGTCACCCTGTTAAAGGAGTTCCTCTTGCTGTGGCGGAGGACGAAGGTTCAGAGTCAGATGATGATGAGCTTAAACCAAAGGGTACTGAACACTGTGTTTGAGACTGACCTGTTTGTATTATGATATATATCAGTGTCTCCATATTCAGGTCGTAGCTGCCACGTACAATATGAGTTGCTCTACTTTAGAGTTTAAACAGGGCAGAATGTCTGGTAGTAAGTCCCCAGTGTGAAAAGTTGGTCATTTGTTGTAAAAGACACTACAACTACATAAACTGTGCTGTTTTATAGGCTTGACAGGAATGAAGAACATTGGAAACTCCTGCTACATGAACGCTGCTCTTCAGGCCCTCTCTAACTGGTAAAGACCACTTCATCTTTGACCAGTGGATGTTTACTTCTACATTTTTAGACTTTCCACATTTAACAACTAAAATAACACCCCCTTTCCTGCTCCACCAGTCCTCCTCTCACACAGTTCTTTCTGGACTGCAGTGGGCTGGTCCGCACCGATAAGAAACCCGCTCTCTGTAAGAGCTACCAGAAACTCATCTCAGAACTCTGGCATAAAAAACGGTCATTTTTTAACTCAACTTTTCTGATTTCCAGAACAAACCTTTCCTGACTTTGTACTGATGTCTTTCTAATTACTGCTTCTGCCCTCTCAGGCCCAGCTACGTGGTCCCTACCAGTTTGTATCACGGCATCAAACTCGTAAACCCCATGTTTCGTGGTTATGCTCAGCAGGTAGGGCAAGCAGACAGCAGGTAACTATTGTCACTGGGTGACTTTCTGAGTGCCTCTGCTGTCAAGTTCCCGCAGCTTCAGTTAATGATAAATAGATCAAAGACAGAAAAACCAAACAGGTTACTGCATTCGATTATTTTGTGGCTCAAAGTGCATACGAATAAAAGGAAAATCACACCATATCGTGGCACATGTTTTTACATTTAACAGCTAATTTAAATGTAATTAATTAATTCAGGACACAAAGACAGTGCAATGGTTGTTGGTCCACATTTACAGTAAAATTGTGTTTTAATTTTATTTGTTTTTGAAGCTAAGTTACACCACAGTGGTTCGAGCAAAGCATCATTCAGCTGTTATGGCCATTTGAATCCTGAAAAGGAGAAACCAAGTGATTCTATTTTATAGTATTCATGGCATTGTGACTAGGGATATTTATATTATTAAAACATATACTGCATTATATATATATATTTTTTTTTTTAAATTCATGAACACCTTTCAGTTTACAGTTCCTATAAAAAGCCCTTTTGTTACCCGCATACAGCCCTGTGATTTAATGTGATTTGCTTCGTCTGTGACAGGACACTCAGGAGTTCCTGCGCTGTCTAATGGACCAGTTACATGAGGAGCTGAAGGAGCCGCTGACGGAGTACAGCATGGGCAGTGAAGGCAGCGACGTGGAGGACAGAAGAGACGGTGACCGCTCACCTTCTGAAGATGAATTCCTGTCCTGTGACTCCGGCTCCAGCAGCGATCGGGGCGAGGGAGGAGGTGCGGGTGACGGCGAGCTGCTCGTGCAGGATGACTTGGACGGGGTGAGGTCGCTGACAGTGGGGCTGGCCGACGTCAGTCCCGGTGGGGTCATCTCGGAGAAAGAGAGGCTGAAGGAACGAAGAGTGTCTGGCTCCTCGCTCCGGGGAGGCTCTCAAGAGATGGATGAAGATGCCGATGTGGACACCGCGGCCTCCGAGGAGGTTCCCCAAAGGAGAGAAGAAGAAGAAAAAGAAGATTCAACACCAACTACAATCATGGACGCTCAAAACCAAGAGAACAACCAGACTAACAATGGACCGGAACAGAGCAGCAACACCGCAGGTAAAGATCTAACAAAGCTCTAACATGGTAAATACAAACAAAGCTGCCAGTGTTAATATACTGTTGTTCTAGAGCCAGACAATGAGGCGTCAATGACCCAGACCCAGTCCATACCCTGCAGTCCTGTGCGAACACTTCAAGAACTCCATTCCAAACTGTCCTCCAGCCCACCTCGCTCCAGCCAACTTCGTGCGGGAGGACCGGTGTACTCTTTCAAAAAAGGTGAGGAATTGTCCCGGGTTTAAACTCCTCAACTTCTGCTTTGACCATGTTCTGTACACGTGCTCAATAATACCACAGGCTTCACCAGCTTTGGTTTACCAGGGATCATAAACCAAAACTGTACACAACAATTGGCCATAACCACAGTGACCATAAGAGTGCATTACGATGACTAAAGACCAAACTGTACAAGACCTACTGTCTTGTACAGTTTTTCTTGTACCGTCTTTCTGTTATTAACTCTATGTTTTTTTTTTGGCCACACATCCCCTGGTATATCCCAACCGGAATTTAAATATAATGCAGCGCAGTGAAAGCACAAACTTAAGGGCAAAGAGGGAAGATGACAGGCTCCGGCTCAGAGGCAGAAAGCAGATATGTATGAAAATATTTTCAGCCGTGTTCCACAAAAATCATCTTCATCTTCAGAGAAGGTGCCTTTTAGAAAGCCTTCATTTATTTATTAATTAAAATGTCAGTTTGATTGTTTTTTTTACACAGGAAATGTTTATTTACTGTATGAAAAAAAAAACCCACTTTAAAACAACACTTTAAACAGCCATCACATTTATTATCTCACGCACCCCCTAGTGGCAGCTTGTGCACCCATAACACACTTTGGGAATCCCTGGTCTGTGTTAGAGTATTGATTAGCCATCTGTTAAGGTCAAAATCAAGGTCAGTGTTAGGTTCCCTGTACTGTAGCTCTATGTTATTTAATTCTCTCAAGTTTGCTCTTCATCACTTTTGTTACTTCAAGCATTTAGACAGATTAGAACTTTACTTTGTTTCATAATGTGTTGATCCAACCTTATTTATATCTACAGTGTTACCACATACAATAACATTGTGTGTTCTTGTGTGTTTGTCCTTCTTGTAATGTTTCTTTCAGCTCAGCTGCTGCTCGGCTTCAGGAAAAAGAAACAGTTGCACTATCGCAGTGTGATCTCTGACATCTTCGATGGTTCCATCCTCAGTCTGGTCCAGTGTTTAACCTGTGACAGCGTGAGTGGTCTTTTACATATTTACAGACCACGGTAGGGCTTGTCAACAAAGTAAAGATTTGTTTCTTTTTGGATGGGTTTGTGTAGCTCAGCTTGTGGAACCGTTTATTTTTTTGTGCATTTTGAGGAACAATGATGAGGAACACATGTTCACGTTAACAGGTGTCGAACACAGTTGAAACCTTCCAAGACCTGTCCCTCCCTATCCCTGGTAAAGAGGACTTGGCCAAACTCCACTCCTCCATCCATCAGAACCTTCCCGTTAAGGCCACAGGGTGTCCTGACTCTTACGGATCACAGGGCTGGATCTCCTACATCATGGACTCCATACGCAGGTCAGTGGTTCCTTTCATCAGACTGACTGCCATCCATTTATCCATCCACCATCCATCCATCCATCCATCCATCTATCTTTTCATCAGACCATTCAGTGATCTCAACATGCATCATCAACTACCAAACATCTTCACCAAGCCTTCAACCAGCCAAATGATTTTCACACCTGAGTACATATGTATTCTAAGTATTTTTCCAGCACATTTTTAGTAACACGAAAAACAAAGACACCCCAGAAAAACCAACAAACTTTCAAGTGCTTCCAGGACCTATTAAACACAGCCGATACTTGCCCTACGAACCAACAATGATGAATTTAGACCCAAACCAACCAATCCACCAACCTCCTAAAAACCGATCAACCAACAGTATAATCCATAAACCGACAAACTAATCCACATACTTAAGTCCGTCAATCAACAAACCTTTTGTACTTTTTGAAAAGTAAGACAAAAACATCCGCATCACCAACACATTTACTACTCTAACAAAAGGTGCAGAACAACTTCTATCTTTACATTTTAGCAGGTCTACAAATGAACTAGTGGGTTATGGCAAAAAACATTTGAATCCAGTAGAGTAGAAGCAAATGTTTATTTGGACTGGGTTCTTGCGAAGAACGTAGGCATGTTCCATCACGACCTGCTCATCATAAGGTTGAATGTGACTGTGAAGATCAGTTCTGGGTCGTCACAAAAGCTGCTGTGAGTGATACGTGCAAGGGCTTGTAAATCTGCCCGTTCCCTTGGTTTGTTTGCAGCACATAAACAATCCTTCAGCCTCATCAGGTCTCCGGATTTCTGAATTAGAATTTTTTTTTCTTTCCTCTCAGAGAATTTTCCTGAGTTTATCACCTTAGATCATACGAGGCAGATGAAGAGACAAGTGTTGGCAGGAAATCTGCTCAGATTCCAGCAAATCTCAGATATCAAACTGTCAAAGCCTCATTGTCGTCATAACAGTGTTCGTGGCGTCACTCAGTGGCTGTACGGTTTCCTGAGAAAGTCAGTAAAACTCTATGCCTGGGGCTTAACATTTCCTCCCTTCATGAAACAGAGCTGCACTCCCAGCAGTAATGGTGGCTGACTCTTCTCCAGTCTTCACACTGCACTTATTTTACACCGACTAAAACACAAGTTAATTTATTTATTGATGACTTAATTACAGATTTGTTGTCTCCTGTATTCCAAGTTGGTTCTGGGGGCCCATGGTAACACTAGAGGACTGTCTCGCTGCTTTCTTTGCTGCAGATGAACTTAAAGGTACAGTACAAATTAATATGGACACACTATTTTGCCAGAGACCTACAGTTGAGGACAAATATTAGAAAAAGGAAAATGATAAATAAACAACAAACATTAAAAAACAAGAGCCAAAATCCGCACAAGATCTTAGAACTAACTCAAATGAGTGAAGCAGTCCAATTGTTGAGTCATGAAGAACTGTCGCTAGAACCCACAGTGAACACAAGAGAAAGTATATTAGCATATTGTATAATATAAGGTGAGGCTCAGAATCCAAAGATCTCAGACCCCTCAGTGGAACACAGAGTAAAACAAGAAACAGAATAAACCTGGGTATATTGGGAATATAACTGCTCTTCTTTAAAGAAGAATTTGATGAAGATAAATAAAAACTCCAAACTGTCTTCAGCATGTTAGGGCCTGATCTGTTGTCTTCCACTTTGACAACACAAACGTCAAACCTTTTATAGGAAATGGTAAAGAACCATCAGCACAGAGCTAAAAGCAAACAACATTAACCATTAATCCTATAGAAAATGAGCAAAAATAGACCAAGGTCTCTCTATCAGACCAAGGACAGGTACACTGGTAAAAGCTGTTTTACCTGCTTTTTATTTTTTCCTTAACTGTAGTTCTACACATGCTCTGCTATTGATGAGAGAAAATTAATTAATTTCTTCTGTATCTACTGGTCATTTTGTATCTTCCAGGTGACAACATGTACAGCTGTGAGAGGTGTAAAAAGTACGTATGATGTATAGAGAGTATTATTTTAAAACCAAGGTATATTTTCCTGTATTTCTTATAGACAATATCTTGTTTTGTTTAGGCTGAGAAATGGTGTAAAATATTGCAAAGTGCTGCGACTTCCAGAGGTATGTCTACTATTTGACAGATCTTTGTTTTTGTAGATGTAAGGTTTAATTTTGACCCTGGACTTAAAAAAAAAAACTTTCTTTATGGTCAGATTCTGTGCATTCACCTAAAGCGTTTCCGACACGAGGTCATGTATTCGTTCAAGATCAACAGTCATGTATCCTTTCCACTGGAGGGACTTGACATGCGACCGTTTCTGGCTAAGGAGAGTCAATCTGAAGTCACCACTTATGACCTTCTGTCAGTTATTTGTCACCATGGAACGGCAGGAAGTATGAAATGCCTTCTTTTAAAAAATGCATTAATCATTGCATGTATGTTTACGATACAGAATGAATCAACGTAGACTTGGTCTAGGGACCTTTTCCCCTCTGACCCTTTGTCTCATGCTGTTGCAGGTGGACACTACATAGCATACTGTCAGAACGTAATAAATGGGCAGTGGTACGAGTTTGACGATCAGTATGTCACAGAAGTCCACGAGACGGTTGTGCAGAATGCAGAGGCCTATGTCTTGTTCTACAGGTGAGCAAATCCAGCAGGACCACAGTGTGCGGCAATATCCCCATGTATCTATCAGATCCACTCTCATCAATGGTGTATTTGTTTTGCCCGTACTTAGGAAAAGCAGTGAGGAGTCGGTGAGAGAAAGACAGAAAGTGGTGGCTTTGGCCAACATGAAGGAGCCCAGCCTGCTGCAGTTTTACATCTCCAGAGAATGGCTCAACATGTTCAACACATTCACAGAACCAGGCCCCATCAGCAACCACACATTTCTATGTCAGCATGGCGGTGAGCAGCACAACTCTTTCTGTGACGCACAAACTGTGAATGTTTTAGATTATCTGTATAATCCTCTGGACTGTTAATATTTATAAGATTTTGACACTCAAGTGTGTCACCACAGGACATATTACCCTTAGAATATTAATTCTCATGTCTTTATTTTTGTTAAATAATATTTGTAAATGCACTCTAAATGCCAACTAAGGAGAAATGTTTCAACCAAAACATATAAATAAGCAAAAACTGTGTGGAGACATTGGTTTATGTAACAGACGAACCTGTCTTTGCATTGAAGGGTGGAACCTTCTAGATGTAAAAGGAAAAACTTATAATATCAAACGTCAGATAAAGGGCAGCAAACAGGAAGCCAACGCTACCCTACAGAGCTAACTTTCAGATAACAGCTAAAAGATAGCTCTCTATAGTAAGAAGCAGTCCAAATATTTAGTATAATAAGTATTTTGAAAAAACAAGAAACAACAAATTAATAATGCAATTACTGTAAGTTGGCCAAACCGACAGCATAAAGATCGATTTTTGGTTAAATGTTGACCAGAAAATTAAGAAATAATGTTCAAAGTAAAGCAGGAAAAATAAGCTTAAAAAAGAAAGCTAAACGGTTGTAAGCTAAAGAACAAAGCTCAAATGGCTAGAATGATATTTTAAAAAAACCCAACTCTTACTAAATGGAATTTAAACTCTCACCTGTATGCCTGTCTGCACTGAGACCAGCCATCAGGCAAAAACAATATTCATAATAATATATTACTAGAAACTATAATTAAAATTAAATATTAAAGTCCATTATCACTGTAAGTTACTAGAAACTATAATTAAAATTAAATCAAAAAAAAAAGTCCATTATCACTGTATAAGTGTATGGATTTTTCTGTGCCTACAGGCTTGTTTTCTCACTGGTTTAATTAAAATTAGTCAACACTTACATGTAAAAACAGGAAACTGCTTTACTAAGCAGCCACAATAGGGGTTAGGAAGTATGATACTTACTGTTAGCCTGTTCACACTTCCCTCACACCCTTTCCTTAAGCAAACAGGTCCATTCTCAGTCTGGGTCTCCTGATTTCGAGAGTACAAAAAGTGGTATTAGTCTAACAGCAAACAAACAGACAGGCAGATAATTACGTCATGATCTTTTCACATTCAACGATCGTAATCGATCACATTAAGTGAAAGCACTGGTAGTTTAATTCAGTTATAATGGTATTTGTCAGTATTGGGCATGTATCTGCCTTTTGTAACCTGCAGGGGGTGCTAATTGTACATTTAAAAGCTATATTGCAGGACTTCAAATAAACCTCGACTTTATTGTTTTATAGAATTGTAACTCTGTAAACTCTATTATAACATTTTATATAATAATACAGAAACCATTGTGTGTGGTTAATAATTCCCTATTGTAAAGCACATCATTAAGACACGTACCAAGTAGTGTGGTAATGGCGTGCTAGCGTCTAACTTGTTAGCGGACTTTTAGCGGCGCGTTTGCACAAACCGATTTAGCGTTGTGTTAGCTCTCCACGCATACGTAGCAGATTAGCAGCATGTTAGTGGTGCGTTACTGCGCAGCGGAATATTTCAAAATTCAGGGCTAAGCTAACCATGCTAACAGCATGACTTCTTCTATGGGTCTTACCGCACACCTGAATCCTTTGAGTTGCGTTACTGCCATCTATTGGGTATATTTTACACCGGTGAATTCTGTAACTGAAAATACGAGTGAAACGTTGAACTTCACAATTAAAATGACATTAAAATAACATCGTCAAGACAGTTTTCATTGCTGTCTTGTCCCTTTTACAGATTACCCAAGATGTCCTATGTTGACATACCATCAGTAACAATAGCTAATTGTGAACTTGAAGACATTAGAAATGAGGCACACACTTAAGGCATTACTTATATCTACTGTATGTACATATGAGTGTGTCTAAAACACGTGCTTTCTGATGCGAAATGTTACATAAATACCATGGAAGACGATAAAGTAAATACTAATGTCAAATTGCAGGCGTTGGTTGGAATTCCAGCTCAGCTTATAATGATTTATGATGAAGATTTGGGGCAGGAAGCCTAAACAAGCCTTTTTGACAGTTATCCACTTTCTAGACTTTATCAGAGACATGGAAAACTAACGTATTTCATCTCTGTGCAGGAATCCCTCCTAATAAATACCACTATGTAGATGACCTGGTTGTGATAGTCCCCCAGAATGTGTGGGAGTACCTTTATAACAGGTTTGTAATAGAGCAGTCACAGCATCTGATAGAGTTGTGATTTTGTGCAGTTTTAAATGTTGTAGTCTTTTTGCTAAATGTGTGTTTTCTCTCTGCCCAGATTTGGCGGCGGCCCTGCAGTCAACCACCTGTACATGTGTGCCATCTGCCAGGTGGAGATAGAAGCTCTGGCTAAACGAAGAAAAATGGAAATAGACACCTTCATCAAGGTCAGGATTTTTTTAATATCATTAAGGATCTGTCTGTAGACTTACTGTACAGGGGGTTCTCCACTTACATCGCCACTGAACTAGATGTCCACATACTGTACATAAGTACCTACATCACTTACCTACGCTAACACGGTGGTAGCATCATAATCTTGTACATAAAAACATCAGAAGAGTTGGATATATGCTTGGGAGCCACAATGAAGGGGAAAAAGGAGAGCAAATGTAGCACAGTCCACTGTATGGCGTACAACGGGTAAATGTAAACAAAGCTACAGTCCACGTATAGCACTGCATGGCGATGTATTTGTCTGCTCCCTTCACCAGCTGGTTTCCGTGCAAAGTTGTTGGTGAGTTTAAACGCTGTACTTAGGAATGATGGAACAAGACTTTCTTTATAAATTTATGGAAGATGGCGTAACAACGAAACGCTGTAGGTCGAGGATGCTGTAAACTGAGGACCTCCTGTATATGACTTTAATTGTTACATTTAAAAATATTTAAATCACATTTCTATGTCCTGTGTAGCTCAACAAAGAGTTTCAGGCTGAAGAGGCTCCAACAGTGATTCTGTGCATCAGCATGCAGTGGTTCAGGGAGTGGGAGAGTTTCGTGAAAGGCAAAGACAACGGTAAATGAGCCTGACTGTAGACAAACACACTGGTGATATAAAAGGGCTTTAACTCTAAATTACAGTTGTTGAAATTGTTTTTTCGCAGAGCCGCCTGGTCCGATTGACAACAGCAGAATCGGTGTCATGAAAGGAGGACAATTACAACTCAAACAGGGTAAGTACCAGAAGTGTCAGCGATGACCGGAAAGCTGAAAAATCCACACGGGCTGTTCTCGAAGCCTTTGTGTGTGTCGTGTCCTCAGGTGCAGACTATGGGCAGATCTCAGAGGAGACGTGGCAGTATTTACTGGGTATTTACAGTGGTGGCCCTGAGATCGCAGTGAGACAGACGGTGGCTCCCGCAGACAGTGACAGCCTCCACGGAGAGAGGAAAATTGAGGCTGAGACCAGAGCACTTTGAGGGAAAGACAGAGGTTGGAATTTTTCCCTAACTTTTCCCTGACTTGTACATTTGTCACAGTAGACCTCATATTTACTGAAAGCCCTCATGGAGCTGGTAGTACATCTTGGAACTTGCATCAGCTCCACCCACTTTGCAGACGTCAACGACATGAACTCAGAAATTCCTTCTGGCTAGCGCAGAACATGATATGAGCCCAGTTCAGCCAAGAACAAAAGGGATGGAACTTCCAGCTAAGAACAGGCAGAAAATTCAGCATCAACACTTAAAAACTGAGGAAACTTGAGCGCTCAATTCTTTTTTTTTTCTTTTTAATTTCTCGTATCCTAATGTTTGTTATCCCCAGGTCTTCTGATTCCAATTTCCACTCCTGCCCTCACAAGAAGCTGAGGAATTTGCACCGTGATGAAGAAGCCCTGGATGTGGGCACTTTGTAAACGCAGCAGAGTATCGAGCTCAATCCCTGCAGAAGGCTGTGAAGTGGCACATGACAATTTGACATAGTTTTATTTCTTGGATCACTCGGATCCTCAGTGTTACGGTGTTACAACAGCGCAGTGTTGATTGGCTGTGGCCTATCAGTAGCTGCTGTTTAGTGACTGATCTGTGTTGCACAGAGCCGTGAAGTTGGCAGCCACTGGTGCTATATAGCAGAGCTGCAGCAGAACGCTCGGTTTTGACATTTCTTCTTCTCCAGAAACAAACAAACAAAAAATCAGTAGACAAAAAAAAAAGTGTTTTTGTGCCTGTTACGTACAGGAACAAGTTCTGACATCAAGTCAGTCACAAACACATTTTGCAATTGAAAAAGATTCCCAGGAATGGACGACATTATTTTCTTTCTTTTTTTTTTTACTTTGTTTTTTAAATTATTATTAAGATTGCATGCAGCGTTAAATCCACTTTTTGACCGTGGACAGAAAATACCACACCATGGACACTCATTCAGAGTCCGCAGTTACAATGCAAAGAGCAAGTGTTTTGTAAATGTACGTGTAATTCAATCACTGCTAGGAAAATAACTGCAAACAAAGAAAAGTGAAAAATATTGACAGTCAGGTTGTGAAGAACCAACAAAAACAATGTTCAAAATCATTTAACTAGGATCAGTGAGAAAATAAAAGAAATAAATGTAGATTTACAAACAATGCCGTCTGTGGTCAAACATAAGGAGGGCAGCATAAAAATGTGACATTTGCCGAGAAAGAAGGAAAATATGTTGAGTTACAAATTCATAAAAACTTACCACTGGAAAAATGGGTTGCATTAAAGGGAAACACGTGAAACATTTGCCATGAAATTGGCAATGTGTCTGTTGAAATGGTATAAACTTGGTCAGCATAACAGTGAGTGTCAGAGATAGGAAGTTAAGGAAGGAGTTGTTGCTGCACCTCACTCTCAGAGGCAACCTTCTGCACAGATCGTATCTGCTACCACATTTCAGATCCAGCACAGAGATTAAATAAATAAACCACAGGAAATTATACATTTTTTTTAACATGTCACAATTAATGGCTCAACAAAAAATTAAAAAATAAACAACACATACTGTATCATTTTTGTATGCCTTTTTACTTATTGGTTCATTTATACGTAAATATTAATTATTTTTAATATTCAAAGACTTGAGACCAAATCACCACCTCAGATGTTTTTTAAATTATTGTTGTTTTTTTCAACGACTACTACAGAGACCCAGTTGGCAGTGTGAGTTCCAGTGCAGCGTCTGTATCACAGGTGAAGAAAGAACGACTGACCAAAACTGTTCTCAAGTGATTAACACAGCTACAGCTGCCATGTGAGATTTAACCGCAGCTTCGTTCTCTCCTGCAAACCGCTGCAAGTTACGACCCGAAATTTAATGAAGAATTAAAACATGACGTACAACCGTCATCCCATCTTGAAATAAACACCAAGTACTCACGGTGCCACGGCAGAGTCGCACTTCTGTTCTAAGATCTCTAACCAGCGTTTCGTTTTCTGAGCTCGACACGGGCCATGTCAAATCAAGACAGACAGGGAAACCCTCTGTAAGCGTTGTCAGTCGTGCACAAGATGTTAAGTCTGGAGTTTAGTGGTAAAATACCTGAACATTACATATACTGTGTGACATTAATTTTCCTAGCACTATGTTTTATGTACTGATTTGAAAATAACTTCATTTTATGACTTTAACAATGTAAGGTTATACATTTATGTCCATAATATACAGTAACTGTAAAAAAAGACTAGAAATTCAGTATTTTCAGTGTGAAGCTCAGCAGATAATTCAAAGACAATGATCAGTGTTTTCTCTTCATATTAGCAACAGTACAACTAAGATAATGAACACAAAATTCTGCTGCACCTTTAAACCCGAGAACCTGAGATTATGATGTTTCACTTTTGGCGGGTTAAATCAGGTTTTTCAAATTAAGTGTCTCACTGTTTGGTATAATGTTGGTAAGTTTAGTCGAAATAAGTTCTTTTTAGATAAATTATTAAATCATCTTCTTTTAAAATACAAATTTGGAAAGCAAAAGGGAACATTTTAATCAGATCTTCAATTTACATTTCATTTTTTTTCATTTATTTATTTTTAATTAATAATAAAAATTCAGACAAATTTGTCCTACTCAGATTAAAACACTTGTTTGTTGGTTTGTTTTTTTTAACCAAATGTTCAGTCTGTATCTGAGACAATAAACGCTGGTGATATCTGTGTACTATAATGTAAAACAATGAAGTATTGGGGAGAATACGTGCAGTATTAGAAGACTAATAGTTGTGCAGTCATCATCAGAACTACTGAATCATGGCTTGTGACTGCAAAGTTCAGAAGTTTTGGGAATTTTGTGTGGAAAGAATTTTTCACTGGAAAAAACAGTTTGCTGTGAGAGCGCGTCACGTCAGTGATATCACCCTGCATTCACTGGCTTTTGTTTTCAGTATAACTGAGTCGTGTTCTGCTCATGGCAACAGTCAACGTGCGGAAATGTGGGATTTAAGTGATTGACGTCAATGTCAAATGTCAAATGTCTGTGTTAATGACATAATTATTCAGGACTGGTAAAAATGAATAAATCAGCTTGTTCTTTGTCCTTGGTGTGTTCTTTTCTCTTGAACCAGAAAGAAAACGGAAAGTGAACTCCTTGTCATTGTGAGACAGAACACCGCTGCACAAATGTGACTTCTGTTTTTAACCCTTCACCAAAGTGAACAGTGGGCAGCTTTAGGCACCCGTGTGGGGACGGTACCTTGCTAAGAGCAGCTCAGTGGTAACCTGGCAGCTGGTGGACTCAAACCTGAAACCTTCCGGACCAAGTCTGCTTCCTTAACCACTAAACCACCACAGCCCCAAAAGCGTGAAAACTTTAAACAAACACGAAAAAAAAAAATCAGCAGCGTTACTGGAGAAAACTTTAAACAAACACGAAAAAAAAGCAGCGTTACTGGGACTGGATTGTAAAGTGACAAAGAGGCGGGGCTAACCGTCTCCTCTCGTTCTGCTCTGTTTTGACTAATCACATAGCACTATGTTTTTATGTGTCAGATAAAACGACAGCATTTTTAGCATTTAGCATTTTTACTAGCATTTTAAAAGTTATTTTAAATAAACTACAGTGTTATGAAATCAATATTTATGTCCACAATTTAATTACATCTGGTGTTTTTTTTTAAACTGCACTTTTAATTTATTTCTAAACCGTTGTTACAAATTTTGTAGTGAAAATGTAAGTATTTTCTCCAATTGTGCTGAGTCAACTGGATGCATGAGTTAGATACCGTTAACCAAACAAAAACCACTGTTAAACCAGGTTAAATCATTTAACTTTAGCTCATTATAACCAGATTCATGTGTATGTAATCATTTTTGTCTTCCTCCCATTTTTGATATCAATAAAACTAAACTGTATTCTTTAATTTAAAAACATTTAAGGAGTATTTACCAATAAATTACACAATCTATGACCATATTATGATTCTGACTGTTTTTCTTGTAAATAATTTTTTTTTAATCATTTTGACTTTTTCACAAACCCCTCTTTTTGTCTGTTTGATTAGTATACAATATAAAATATTTGTTATTATCCCTTCCTAGTCATCTGCTGTAGTGATACATCTACAGCAGCGTGATGGTCATTAAAGGGTTTTATCAGGGAGTTGTGTTACATTTTCAATCTACACTGTACAATTCAAGAGTTAATTCAGCTATTTAATAAATAAGTAAAAAAATAAAAATAAAAAAACAGGGCGTGGGACAATTTAAATGAGTGTCTGTGATGTCACAGTGGCTCCCATATGCTGAGCTGCATCCAGGCAGACAGAGGAAAACAGAGCGAGGCTGTCAGGAGGATCTGAGCCACATACTGAACATCTTTGCAGAGAGAGGAAAACTGCAGGAACGCAGCACAGATCAGGTAAGAGCCCAAAAACTATAAAAATAGAACAGTTGTGTCAGAGGGTTGACTTTCAGCAGGCACACATGCATCTGCAGCATGTATCAGCGCTCTACCACAACACTGGCATGTTTAGTGCATGACATGAACACAGACCTCCACAGACTTCTACAGTCTAGACAGCACAGTTCTGTTAAGGAACACTGAAATGTCCTGCAGCCATCGTCTCTCTCTCTCACACACACACACACCAGTGAATGATAAATCAGCAGAGACAATGCAGTCAGAATCCAGGACAGCCATCTGCACCACAGCGTTCCCACTGCTGGGGCAGTTGAATGGGATGGGAGTGGCAGGTAGCAGCAGCCCTCTCCATCCTCAATGTCATTGTTCCTACAGTGTGTGTGTGTCCGTGTGTCTTTTCTATCACATGAGTCATCACTATTTTGTGTAAAAAAAAAAAAAAATAGGTGTGTCAATATTCAAAAACAGGCGTGTGGACAGGGAAAACTGGTGAATTGTACGGACGCTTTCGATCATGTCTCACTGTTTTCCACTAGGTGTGTACGTCATAGTGAATATTATAAAGAATCAGGAGCTTTTATTGTTACTACACACGACAACGTTGTCCTCTTTATGTAACTGTGAGTGCTGTGCGGTTGCTGAACACACCACCGCCCTGATGGTCATGGGATTTCAACCAGCAGTCCTTCAATCAAAAGTGAGACCCTACAACCACCGGGGGCAGACTTGGACTAGGAAATAATTCACTAAAATAGGCCAACTCTAAATACAACTGTGGCTATGGCTCACCTAGTGAGTGGGTTGTCGGTTCCATTCCAGGCTTATGAGGTTATATGCCACTCCCAGGTATATGATTAAACCTATAGTGTGAAGTGCTTTGCGGGGTTATCAGGACTAGAATTGTGTTATACACAGTACAAGTACAAATGATCAACTGTGATGACTATAAACTAATCTGTACATACCAAAAAAAAAAAAAAGAAATAAATAAAAATAGGTAAAAGATGCAGTATAAATACTGAGCTGTAACTACCTCTTACCTCCCTGTAGATGTCACTCTAAACCTCTGCTATGTCAATATTCAAGAGCTGAGCACAATCGTACAACAGTAGTGTTGTTTTTTTTATATGCAGTGTCCATGAAGCCTGGCAAAAATATTCCCAGATAAACAAGTAATCACCACAGCGAGTCTGAAAACTTTACGACCACACTACCTCGAAAAATAATCTTAGAATGTACTCCCTGAATCTCAATTTATGATCGGGCGCCTTCCGCAATTCTTGTCATCTACTGGGTCAATTCCACTAGCAAACATTTTTAACCAGAAACAACTACATCACTACAAAAAACGACTTAAAAAATGGCATACCCAACCTTTAAATTTCCTTGTGTACCTGACTTTGTTTGAATCTGTTTCCCACCCTCCCTCAGACTGTCAACATTCTTTAAGAATGGATGAGAAACAGTCCATACTGGAACCAGGCCAATGAAAACCTGCTGCGTGTTGGTGCTACACCACGTGAGGGGAGTGAGTTTTTGGATACGATTTCTCCTGGAGTGAAAGAAGATCAGCTGGAAGAGCAGCTCCCGGTTTCACCTCCCTGGAAAATTTTGCCTCAGTGATGGAGTGATTTTTTTTGTTTTGTTGTTTGTAAAACAGCATTGAATACAAATATTTACATGCCGTCTGTGACGTGTGTGTGTGTGTGAGACGGAGACCAAGAACACCTCTGGCTTCTTGATGTGACTCTTTAACTCCCGCTTTTCTCATCAGGCAGTGCAGGCAGGGCCTGGATGTGACGACTGTTTTGCTGTTTTGTTTACTTCAGTCCATAGATACACTTTTTCTTTTAGCGTTCCCAGTGCTGCACCTCTTTCTTTTCTTTTTTTTTTACCCCTGCCTGACAGTACTGTAGACAAAAAGATAAAAATATCCGAGGGAGGCACGAGCTCACAAGCAGTGTAGAAACTTGGCTTTTTTTCTGCTGCTTTAAAATGTGTTTCAGCCATTTGATGTTCAACTGTGAATCTATTTATTCATTGGACAGGATTTTAATCTCCATGGACTAATCTGTAATCTGACTTTCTGGAATGTAAAACTCTGAAAATGTAAAATGTTCAAAATAGCATTGAAAACATACATAATGACTAGCTAAGCTAGTTAATTTAGCAAAGTTTGAAGTTGATACAATGTGTCCATGAATGTGTGGTTACACTTTGCAGCTCTGAATATAAGCAGGAATTAATGGAAGCCTGTTAATTGAAAAGTGTTAGCTCTCTAGCCCTCGCCTTCAAACATCTAGAAAACCCAATGACGGTGTCCAGCAGCACGAACCAGAGCGGTCGAGTCTGTGTTTACAGTGTGTACTGAAGGTGTAGTTCTACATAATCTGTGTTAAAACACACGCCATGGGCTGTGTTCTGTGTTCCCGGCTGGTTGACATGTGGACTATGAGTGTAAGCAGGAAATGTTTCAGGTCAAAGGAGGTCACTTCCTGTCCACAGATGCTGCAGGGGGGCTACCACAGAGTGACCGGCCTCCACTACATGTCGTCCTTCTCCGACGCCGAGGACTGCTGTGACGACACCGGCAGTTCTCTCACCTTAGAGTGGCAAACACAAGGCACAGATGCCTAACGCCTGATTGTGATCATGTTGTACGATAGACAAAGTGTTATATGCAGGACTTAGTAAAATAAACGAGTTGTGAATACATTTTGTGTAAACTGTGGGCTGTGAGATTTTTTTAAAATAATAATTCAAACTCAGTCAGCATATTGTACGTTTGTGCTGTAAACGCACAGTAGAGAAAACTTGTACTGTAAGTTAGCATACGGGGCCAAAGATGTCATAATGGCTTTGAGTTGTCAGACATATCATTTTGGAATGTTGTTATCTTTTGAATTTATAAACATACGGTTTTCACTGCAGACAGTGAAACAGAAAAAAGGGAAATCTTATACACAAAAATGTGTATTGATATATCCATATGTATTTATTCAGACAACATAATATATCCATATGTATTTATTCAGACAAAATAAAATGTGTACTCTTCCTTTAACCCAAACGGCTGCATGGATATCGGAATCGGAAATTAAGTGTTTGGACAACATCGGCAGATCGGATATCGGCAAAACGTTAAAATCGGACCTCCCATTAAATAAAATAAAAAAAGATCCTACTTATAAAAAAACTACTTATAAAAAAAAAATACACCAATCGATCAGATTTAATTGTATAAAAAATTCCTAACGTCGGTGGAAAAATTCTTCGTATCAGAAAAACGTTGCGAGATTCGGTCTCTTGTTCATGTTTAAGTGACAATAAATACCTCGGTCTCTTGTTCATGTTTAAGTGACAGTAAAGAAGACATGAATATTAAATATTAAATACTTTAGAGTTTCAGAACTAACAGTGAATTAATACTCCTCCAGGTCTGTGATGATGGAAGTTTTTTTTATTAAGCCGGATATTCTGGATCTGTCTGCACTGAGATATTACTGACTAAGGCGACAGCTACGCAACATCTTCCTCATACATTTTTGCAAGTACTAGATCATACCAGAGTATCCATCTCAGAAGTATTATTAAAGGTAACATGTATACACTGTAATGTTAGTAATCCTATTACAGCACTCTGACTGGTACCACAGGCTCTGAATGGAGCTGAAAATGTGTGAAAAAGTCCAGTGTTTTGCAACAAACTAAATGTGCCGTGTTTTGCCAGCAGTGTTACACATGGATGAGTTCTCCCAGTGTGACCAGTACAATCCAAAAGCAAACGTATTGGCTACAGAAGTCAGTTAATCTGCTTCTGACTCAGACGGGCACGGCTAAGGACACGCTCTTTTTTGTCGATGTCATCACACAAAGTAAACAATATGATTTATGACAAAGACACTTTTGTTATAATGCTTCCGGATATGCTGAACTGAGAAAAGGAAGAGAAGGTGGGGCACGGGTGGAGGAGTATTGGGAGAAAGTAAGGTTAAAAAAAAACTTCTCAGAATACTAATTATTAATTAAATACTGCTGCTGCCGCCAGTTTGTCAGTATATGAACTGACAAAAAATATTGAATTAACGTCAACAGATGTGAATTCACTTCAACTACACAGGATATTTAGCAGTATACATTAACAGTTCTTCAAAATAAAAAAAAGTAAATTAAATAAAAAAAATATCCAAAAATAAAAACATTATAAATATAAAAATAACCGCCATGTATATGGATGGGATTTGACCACTGCATATAAGCCATCCAGTAAACAAGTGGAGACCATGGGCTACAGACATTCATTTTAAGACAGCCATATTTTATGATGAGCTCTGGTGGGCCACTTACATTGATGAGATGGGCCAGATTTGGCCCACGGGACTTGAGTTTGACATATGTGATGTAAATACAACTTCAAACAAAGGCTGCGAGTTGAACTTTGAGAGATAATTATGTGTCAGTTTGACTTAGCGGAAGATGGGATATCATTCCATCCTGTCAGAAAGGAAGGGTCAGAGGGGATGAAGACGGGATATCATTCCATCCTGTCAGCGTCTACCGGTGTTACTGAGAGAAAGGAAGGGTCAGAGGGGATATCTCTGCCTCCAAGCCCCCTGGTGGCGTTCTATATGAAACTACAATGAGCTCTGGACTAATTAAATAACTGTTCACACCTCCATATCCTGTGCTTCGTCAAACACAGCTGTCATGTAGAGATTAAGTACAATACACATACAAGTGTGTGTACAGTACACACTTGTAGTCATTGATACAAATCATATCCAAGGATATGGGTTCACCAACGTTTTCAAAGAAACTCGTTCTTTCACGCCACCACCGAGATGACTAGTAGACAGGGGAAAAAGTACTACAAAATGTAAGTAAAAGTATCGTTATTTTGCTTAAATTCAACTTAAGAGAGTAAGAGTAAAAGTACACACCTAAAATATCTACTTCAGTAAAAGTGAAAAAAATACTTAATTTAAAATTTACTTTTGAGTAAAAGTAAAACGTAAAAGTATTTACTTTAAATTGAAAAAAAGGACGAGTTATACATCTGATCTGCCGCTAGTTGTTTTTAATCAACAATTCAAATACAAATACTAGAAATGTGAGAACTTAGAATGTAGGATGCTGCTTAACTTCCTGGCTACAACATGAGGCCCCTCCCTCTGTATTTAATACCATCATAATATCCTTTTAACATTTTAACGTCACATTTAGTACAAATGCTCAAAGGGCTGCGAAGCTTGGCTGACCAACCCAGATGTAATGTTGATGGGAAATCACTGTCCATCCAAAGCTCATAGTCTGGGCTACAACAATGAGAAAGAAGCTAGTCTACTATACAGCATTTAAGATGATTTCATTAGAGACCAACTGCAATTAGAATAATGTACTTGTATTATTTCTTGCTGTGCTGTGGTACTGCTCTACCTCATTGAGACGTTAGCTATCTGGATGAATGCTAAGCTAGGCGAAAACAATCGATATCATAAAGGCACGTTTTGCTTGAAGGATTTAACCAAACAACCAACGAAACGTTTGGGATACTGTTAAATCGGGGTGCTCCGCGGCACCACCGACCCTACGGTGGTACCGCGACCTGATCGGCTCTCCGTCTAACGAATAAGGACCGGTAGCGTCTTAGTAGGTTGTCACCATCTTACCTGGTGGACCTCGGGGGTTTCTAAAATACGTCGTCCAATTTTGCTGCTCAGAAAGAGTCCAATTTGTGATGTTCTTGTTGCTGGTGATGTAAAACAATAAAAACAACTATTTGTCTGACGCCTTCCGTCCACGAGGTAGAAGCAGAGATACTCGACTTACCGCCACATGCTTTCGCGGGTTTGATGTGGAAGTTTTGACAGCGACACCTCCGTCCGCCGAGGCTGGTACATTTGCATGGCATGATAAAGTTATTGCCTCTTTTACATTAAAAAGAAAGAGAGCCAAGGATTTCGTTCTCTTTCTGAGTCACCATCCAACGACTGGCGAGAGTCCGCGTCTTTATCATTATCTGGCTACATTAAAATAATAGCAAATATGCACGCGCACGCGATTTTCTTTTAGATACCGAATTTACTTCTTTTTTCTTAACATAGTAACGGGTTATTTGCGAATGTAGCGAAGAAAAGCACTTGAGTCAACTTGAGTCCCCCTCAGTTGACCAAATACATGTTTCACACACATTATTTGTGGTTTTGTTTGACGGACTTTTTAGGGAGTGTGTCTGGAAAGTTTTTGAAGCGCGTTTAGTATCGACGGTAAAAAAAAAATGTGTAAAACATGTTGCCTGCAGTGAAGCCTCCTCCATCTGCGGGTGGTGCTGACGTCACTGAGAGAACTAAAAAAGCCTTCCCTCGGACTCACTCTCACTTTCAGCTGATTTCACCAACTCTCGGTGTCCAGCAGTCTCCTCCACTGACCTCTGTCTCCTGTCTCTGTCCCGGCAGCGGCCATGGCACTCATTAGAAACGAGGTTTTCTCCTGTTTCGTTTTCTACGCCGTTCTCCTGCTCGTTAAAATGTATATTATAGCGATTATAACGGGTCAAGTCAGGCTGCGGAAAAAGGTGAGTTGGAGGGTTTTTTTGTTTTTGTTTGTTTGTTTTTGCAACGTAAAGTTGAACCTTAGTGCTTAAATTACGAGTTACGTCCTTAAAAAAATTTTTTTTTTCTATATTCATAAAGGCGTTCGCCAATCCTGAGGACGCACTGAGACACGGAGGTTTGCAGTTTCACAGAGAGGATCCATATGTGGAGAGATGCCGCAGGTGAGGAAAACGAACATTCTCTCTAATAGCTGGTCAACAATGTTTTTAAAAAACATCTATTCGGATCGTAAATATAATGACGAGAATTACGAAAAGTTGTGAATTTGACGGAATTCAAGTTGTTTATGAAGGGGAAAATATGTTAATTTAAAGGAATAAAGTAGTAGTGGAAGAGAAAAATCTTTACGATTGCGAATAATGGTAATGTTACGAGAAATTAAATATGACTAATGTGAACAAAGCCGTGAATTAAGGAATGCATTGATTTAATTAGGGGTTAAATTAGGAAGCTGAATAAGAGGAAAAAAGTTGTAAGGATATGAGTAAATTAGTAAAAATTAGGAGAAAGAAATTATACAATAACAAAGTCCTTAGGACGAAATCCAGGACAATAAAGATGTAGTGTTGAAGAAAAAGTTTAGAAAATAAAGTCATAAATTTATATATGTCTATTCCTAGACAATTAAAGATGTATTTTCTTCGCAATATAAATAATAATACTGGTACCTACTAATAAAATTATTTTCTATATAAAACTTGGTTGTTTGTTAAAAATAGGAGACACTTTCTCTGCATCAAACACACACAAAAAATGTAAATTCAAGTAACCTGTGGTTGTATCGGTAAAAAAACTGCAGTACATGCAGTGGAATCACAGTCATGTCTCTCTGGAATTCACCACTGACTGCCCAAATACTACATATAAACACGACAGACTTTTTTTTCTTAAATCGTCTGTTAACGTCTCTTTAACTAATGGAATTCCCATTCCTGTAAGACCGTGTGTCCATTTGTTTCCCCCTCTCTGTATTTGACTTTGGCTTTGTGTAAACGTCAAGTGATCTGTGACATTAGTGAGGAAGAGCAGATGTTTTCCATTAACTACAATGTTTCTGGAAACTTCCTTTTGTTTATCTAGTGTGTCGGTCCGGGTTACGTAAACTTGTGATGGGAAATGGGCTGAGCTGCACTAAAGTGTGTCTGAATTTGGACAAATCTCCTCGTTTGTACCGTGATACAAGAAGCGTTGACACAACATGATTCTACGTAAAACATTATGATTCCGTTGTGTCAACAAGTCAGAGGAAGACAGTAGAGCTGTCTGTAATCTGTCTGTAATCTGTCTGTGATCTGTCTGTAATCTGTCTGTAATCTGTCTGTGATCTGTCTGTGGTCTGTCTGGGATTCTAAAAGTAAAAAGAACAAATGTCCGTTGTTTACTAGTCAATGACGCTGTAATGGTTAATACTACGGTAACTTACTGGAGTTCAATGTTTTCAGGACAATAACAGCGCCCCCTTTTAGACGCTATGTTATAATTTGGCTAAATAAAAATTTTATGTTCAGATTAAAGCTAATAAAAAACTCATTTGATTTCTTCTTTTTTTTTAACTCCTGGTTGGCAAAGACTTTTACTGTATACTGTAACCAACATAGCATTAAAGCCAAATCTTAACCGGCTGAACATAGAACGACCTGACTGGACCTTTGACCTTTAGTCGGTTGTTTGTACTGGTAGTATGTGTGTATGGTTGGTGGAGAAACCTGTTTATGCAGAAGGTAGTTTAAGAAAGCAGTCCAAAAAATCTGGGACAAGTTTAAACAGTTTGTTTCCAGAGTGTAAGGTGGTCCAAGATGTGGATCACAGGCTGTGATTATATCTGACAGGAATAAAGCTACGGCCAATTTTACGATTTGGGGGAAGTTAGGGAAAAAATGAAATATAATACATCCATACTAGGGATGTCTGATATTAACTGATATTAACTTTTTGCTGATATCCAATATGCGATCCGGTATCGAATATGCAATCCGATATCCGATATTGTCCAAACACTTAATTTACAGTCCCGAATTGAGCGCCACCTGTTTGCTAAGGTGAACAGTGTTTTTCAAACATTTTTTAAAATACTCACAGTAATACTTAGCGAAACACAGGCATTGCGTTATCAGGTCTTTAATATCAGACGAAGAAACCGATAACAATCCTTACAGATATCACATAATTATGCTAATATCGGGCCGATAATATCGGTCAGCGATATTCTCGGACATCCCTAATCACTGTTGTTTTCTCCTTCACGCCACAGAGCTCACACCAACGACATGGAAAACATCTTCCCCTTCCTCTTTCTGGGTGCTGTCTACTCCCTGACCGGACCTTCAATTACCGTCGCTCGCCTTCACTTCCTCATCTTCTTCCTGTGCCGTGTGCTGCACAGCATTGCCTACTTGTTTGCCCTCAGAGCTCCGACACGCTCGGTGTCCTACTCGCTCGCACAGATCCCTTGCTTCTCAATGGCGGTGCAGATTCTGATGGCGGTGTCAACCTACGCCTGATTCACCTGTGGATTTCCAGATTCCAGTGTCATGGAAGACTTTTTTTATGTACTTGTATTCACAATGAAAATGAAGGTTGTTGCTATTTTTTTTTAATTCCAGGTTTTGTTGAAATGGATATACAGTTGTCATCTCAGCCAGAGCAACTGATGCATGTGAACAACTCCAAGCCAGTTGAGTACATTTTGCCAAACCCTCCCCCCTTTTTGTGTTTACACACAGCGCTGATAAGAGTTCTTATGGCGCGCCATCACCTTCCTGTGCGTCTACGTTTTCTGTTTCTGTCAAAACATTTCAGTTTGCGTGTCTGACAACCTGCTGAGTAACAAATATGTAGATAAAAGATCCTATCTGGGATGGTTTTTAGTGGGTAATGTTCTAGTTCTAGCTGTGAAAAAGCATTTTTTGAAAAAAAAGTATTGAATAATTTATTTAGTTCATGTATTTAGTAATAACATAGGTCAGATATGTAACAGTTTGTATGTTATTAATTTGAAACTGCTGTTGATTTTGTGTGTTCTATTGTCAGGGTGGAGGACTGAGGGGGGAGGGAGCGAAGTGAGGGGGATCTGGGCCTCACTTTGAGTGTGTTTATGTGTGAGATGATCCAGTTGTCTGTTGAAAAGCTCCGGAATTCCAGCGATTATGTAACATCTTTGGACAGTGCTGTGTTTCAGTCCGAGGGGCTGGACACTGCTCCAAAACAATAAAGCCTGAAAAATGCTCACAAGTTCCGTGTGAACCAGGCGGTGAGCGTGTGGTTTGTGCGTCAACCTCCTCAACGGTCGTAAAAATATGTTTTTGGCTGCACAAACGGTATTCTCGGATGATGGGCTTTCCAGTCATTTCATATTCAGTGTTTTTTCCCACTAGTGATGACTGCATCTGGAATAATAAGAGTTGTGCTGTTGTGTCATTACAGCGTGAACTCGATTAAGCAACAGGAAATTAACCGATAGTAGGCATTCGCGTGACAACTGTTCGTCTGAATTTGTTTTGTTTTGAAGGAATGAACCTTAATACATAACATAACAATACATAATGGTGAAACGTAAAGCTAATAACATATCACAAACGGGCGCGTCTGTGTCCTGTGTTCGTCTTAACCTGTCTCTACCTCTAGGCTGTAAGGAGACAAAGGAGGAATTCTCCTTTATTCACTTACAACTTCTCTCAGCCGAATAACTCCCAGGGACATACGCGCTCAAACACGGTAAACGTATGAAAAGTTTTTTTTTTTTAAATGTGAGAAAAAGAAAAAAAAGAAGAGGAAACACAATTACAAAAATCGAATGTCACAATGTGGTCTGTTTCATTTAAACGTGATTTTTTTTCTCTCTTGTTGATCAGTTTTTGTTTTGATGTTTTATCGTTGAATAAACTGCGACAATATACTGTATAATATTTTGTTTCTATACCATTATCTTTGTCTCCACCTTGTGGTCAAATGCAGACCTAGCAAGTTATCCAACTTAGACCAATGTACTGTATAAAGCATACAGTACATTACATACATTGCTTTCTAGATGTATAATTATACAATAATTTAGTTCTAATAAGGAAGGAATGTTGAAGTGATGTAGAAATTTAACCTTTTATAGACAGATTAAAGTTTGATTACAAGAAGCAAATTTATCTTCCACAGCCATACTGTAGGTGTTTGTGGGGAAATGCAAAACATCCCCACAACAACTAAGTGTCCCAACAACAACATCCTCCATTATTAGCATCATCTATTTTCTCCCTTAATTCTATTTATAGCACAGCAGTCATTTAGGACTAGTCCGTTTCTAACGAATTAGTTTCTGACGAATCATATTAATCCACAAACATTTCACAGTCACAATCCCTCCTATGGTCAAATCGAGTGTCCACTGAATCTAATCCCAAGCCTGACCACAAAAGGAAGCTGGAGTATCCCAAACAAACATGCAACTACCTGAAGAACCATCACTGAGCCAAGCTGGGCATCGAACCTATGACGATAATTTCTAGCCGGTATCATTACCTATTACACTGTTCAAGCTGCTCACAAATCCCCACTCAAACTGCTCAGCTAACTGATTAGCATTAGGGATTATTATTATTTATTTATTTTACATAATTTGTCAAAATAGTCAGAAATGGAAAGAGCTAAATTTTCCAGAAATAGCACAAAACTAACTGAACATACAGATAGCGTAAATTTCATAAATATTTATTACATATCAAGGAACAGAATCACCTACTTTCACAGCAGTGGTCTACAGCACTTGTTTAAAATAACTGCTCAAATAATATCATCATCATATTAATAATTATAATATTAATAATAATATAGTTCAATTTCATTTGAGGCCACATTTGATACACAAACATTTACAAGTAGTACTTGGCATTAAAAACGATGGCAATACAATAATTTAAGACACTTGGTGTTTTTTTTTTGTTTTGTTTTGTTTTGTTTTTTTGTGTGTTATTTTTCCTTCATTTTGATATCACAGAGAGGTTCAGCAACAGTCTAAACAGTAAATATAAGTTCAAATACAACAGAAGAAAACAACAAAAAACGAAGAAACAGTGAAAATGCCAAAGGGAGGTAGAAAAAAATAGAGTACGTGACAAGAACACACAAGAAAAGGAAACAGGGGTGGGAGTACGAGAGCTCCCCCATCACCCAAACTCACATTCAGAGCAATAAAGACTTAAACTTCCGCCGTTTCCCTTGTTTAGTCCCATTAAAGTTTTTTTTAATGTTATGTTATAGAGTCTGAACAATTCACACTGATACAGGCAGAAGAACAGGGAGAAATGCACGAGGGAGAAAAAAAAATTCATGCACGACCCGTTGTGTTGTGAGTCACCACGTAGGGGCGCTCACGTTATGGAAAAAGCGCGACCACTGCTCGTAAATGATCATCGATGAGCCATGTTTGTTTGTTCTTTGTTTATACGTCATATGCCGTTTTGAATTTGATTACGAAAGCATGGTTTTAAAAAAAAGTGCAATTTATGCGACTGTTTCAAAAGAATAAATATCTAGGAGCAAACACTGAAACACAGCTCAATGCAGGACTTTATGAACTGGGATTTCACATCAACTAAACTGACTTTAACTTTAACATTGGCCTTTAAACAACCTGTATAATTCCTTTATCTGCTTTTCACCTGATCACATGCAATAAAAGAGTCCGTTTTTGTAGTCCAGACAGGGTGAATTAAAAACAACAGCGGAGTTATCTGTAAAATTACAGATAACATTAGCAGACCTGGCTGTGCTGAAACTTCAGCATGGTTATTTTTGCAGTTACACTTTCAAATGTTTCACAACAGTTATATTAATTATAATTCTACTTTATTACAACTCAAGGCTGCTTTGGTTTTAAATTCTGGATCCTGATTTCCCGCCCTGATGTAACCAGAACAGATTTTGTGCAATAAACATAATTATGGGCTAATCTCTTCAAATGTTCTCCTGTTCTTTTTTAAACATGGGGGGACTTGGAGGTCTTGGTCCGAGCAGACGGGTATCGGACCTGATAGTGATTTGTATGACGGTAAAACATAATTTTCCCTTTTTTTTAAAGATGGACTCGTGATTGAAGATGTGTTTTTATGCAGATAAGTCTTAGATTTAATATCGCAGACGCAAGATTTCGGAAGAAGCTTTTGTTTATATGAAAGACACAACACACACACACATATTAGAGGAGGGTCATGCAGATTCAGGGTTCAGAACTGCCTTCGGTCAGTGACGGGACCGACGGCGTCCACTGTAATCATGGCTGTTTGCTGTCAGACACCGAAATACTTGAGGTTTAGCCGAGTGAAGGATGATGGGAACTGGCACTTGTGGGAGACTTTGCCTCCAGCCCTGTCTTCCTGTGTGCTGTGAGTAAGGAGGAGAATAAGGTCCAATATGTGCAGAGAACCAAAAACATCATAGTTTTTTTTTTGTTTTTTGTTTTACTAAATATGGGAATAGAATGGATTTATATAGATCTATAAGTATGCGTCACAGGCATGACGAGCACACACTGTGAAGGCATTTCCATGTATAAACAGATGTACACGCACATATGCATATCATACAACATTTGAAAGTGAATTTGGAAATAATCACAGAATTTACAACATGTACTGTAAGAAGCTCCAGAAACGTCCGAGGGCAGCGTGAACACGAAGACCTTTCGCCACGCTAGGTTTACATTCGCACTGTGGTCTGGGATCGAACCGATAACCTTGTCTCAAAAGCAGTTGCAGAACTCTGAACACACCACAGCATTTCACATGACACCGATGACACCTCTTTGGGTTATTTGCTGCGGGGCAACCAACAACAACTAACGCACAGTGGCTGAGAGCAGCTCAGGAAAACAAACACGCACGCACACACGCACAGAAACGGCTTCGGAACTCCCACCGTACCTATTTGTCCGATGAATGAGAGACCCAGGATACAAGGATAACAACCAAAGACTGCCAACAACAAAGGCTCCAACAAACATCAACCTAAAAACAACCCATTCAAGATGAGAAAATGTGACAGACAATACGGGGGTGGGCAGAGAAGTGCATGATGGGGGATTGTCTTCATTTTAGGTCCAAGACATCTTCTTCAAACGACGTAGGGAGGGCAAAAGCGCTGGTGAGGGGCAGGTTCTCTGCCTGCAGCACCGCCTTCTCTGGCTCGGCCTCCAGACTGGTGGAACAGTGCAGCTGGATGTCTAAGTCTGCCTCAAAAGAGTCTGACGCTAACCTACGCACAGAACAGTTCCAGGTTAAATCTGTCAGGTTGAACATGATTAATAAAGGCACCCACGACGTTTGTGTTTTTCACCTGTCACTGTTTGTGGACGTCAGCGCTCGGGGTTTAGGCTCTTCCTCCGTGTTCTTTTTGCTCATCTTCCTCTGTTTGACTGTTCCACTATCCGACTTCCCACTCGGTTCCTCTGTCAAGCCTACAAATGAACAAAAGGACAGTTAATGGGAAAAACACAGGAACAATGCAAAGTTTAGACTTAAGAAATTCAAAAAACATTTCTCTTCCACTCTACCAAGCAGCTCTTTGCGTGTGCGGCTAGCTATCTCTTTGATCTCCATGCGGGACAGCGACAGTGAATGTGTTGCAGAGATGAGGGGAGTGGGGGCCACCGTGACAGGAGCTGGCGCTGTCAGCACCTTGTTGACCAGAGGGGACTTGAGGGGTCTTTCAATGCTGCGGCCCACCAGGTTACACAGAGGGATCTTGAAGATGTGTTTACAAGCTGCTTCGCCTGGGAGGTAGAAAACCAGGAAGAAGAAAAGAACAAAAAAGTTAGAAAAGGTAGAAAAAATCTAGGAAAGGAGAAATAACTGAACTGAGCAAAGACGGTGATGAGCGCAGGGACGAAGACAAACAGAATAAAGTCATGTGTGACGGTGAATGAGAGATGCATTAGTCCTGAGGCTAAGGATGTCAAAACTCTGTTATAACACATGGGAACATTTCTAAACTTTGAATATTTATTAGAATCATACACCTGACCTGTAAAAAAAACAACAAAGAGAACATTTTGAATTGTTTTACAAAAATGCTAACTGAGAGTATCATGCAAAAAAAGTTTCCCTGATATTAGTGGATCTGTAAAGTATAACTTTTTTTCAGGACACAGCTTTAGCGGAGAGCTACAATATGCTAACTGGAGCTGTTTTGATATTTTCACCGTTCTAGAGGATGACAACACGGTTGCCGTTGGGAATATGGCTAATAAAAACCGGAACAACATCAACTAGCTCCAACACAACTAATTCAAGTCACTTTAAAAGTTTCCATCACAAAGAAGCCGTACGGAGTGAGTATGAAGCAGCTGTAGCAACAGCGGCAGTTAGCACAGGAAGCTAAAAAGGTAACGGAGAAAAAAAATAAATCTATTTAACTGAAATTTAGGAACAAGAAGTTCAACAGACACGGCAATAAGTCCAATGAGGGAATTAATAAAATCACAGGGTTTATAGCCATATGTTTAAGAAATAATTATGTAGAGCTTTACAATTTTATTTTCTTGTTAATACTTTTACTTTTAGCCTAAATTGGTTTTATTTGTCATGTTATCCTAGTGCAGACTTTGAGATGTATTCATTTATTTATTTAAAAAAACCCCAAATATTCTAGAAGTCTTTTTTTTTTTGTTAAATAGAAAATGCGAAATGATCGATTATCGGCTAAAAAGAACCAAACATATCGTCCGTACGTAGCACTGCAGTATTTCGTAGTACTGACTGCAGAAACCTGCTGTGACGTCAGTAAGCAGACCTTTGGAGCATTATTAAGCCCGAGTCTGATTGGAACCAATTATGTCATATTTTACATTTAATAAAGAACACACACTTCGCATCGTGCCCCTTGCAGTGCCCAGGTCTACCATCTGGGGTCGCCATTGCGGTAACACTGAGGCCGGCTGGTAGTTACATGTGTGAGACAGAATCAAAGGAGGCTGCTCCTCAAAGAGGATCATGTCATTTTGAATGTCAGCAGCTAAAAGGTAAGTAGGAAGTCAGAGAGAAAATAAAGGGTCACAGCTGATGTACGACAGCAACAGTTGAACCACTGTTGCTACAGCTGTGGTCTCCTGCACCTGTGCTGATGAAAGACAGAAATCAAACCAATGAAACTAATAATGCAGGGCAGCATGCAGTTACTTGGAATATATGACAGAGAATACTATATTCCACATGTGGTTTTTCCACCAGTGAAAGTGTCATGCTGCACCAACGACGTCTAATGGAGGACACCCCAATGAGTTTGAAGTTCTGATTTGTCCTCATCAGCAAACAGTTATGCTGCGGCTCTTTGCCGTGTGTGTTTGAGCCAGTGGAGGTAGCTGGTGGCGAGCAGCCACATCAGTAACAACATCTTGTTCATGTTACTGATGCGATTACATCAGACGAGACCCTCCCCGAGGAGCAGATACAGCAGGTGCACAAGCAGAAGATGGGAGTTTTGTCAGCACCCCTTCCATCCTCATCTCTTCTTCTTCTTCCACTTTCCCCATACCTGGCTTCGAACCCACCCTCCACAAAAACAGGTACACGCTGGAACCAACCATCCCCCTCTCCCCCCACTGACCCTCACCCTCAGACTGTGGCACCGCTGTTTGGACAACCACTTTGGATTGAAGAGAGGGCTGACAAAAGTCTCCATGGCGACAGTGCAATCTGTAAATCATGCTGCGGCAGACGTGTCCTCACCTTTCCCTTTCCTCCCTCCTCCTGCTTGTACAAAGCCCCTCCCTGTGCTCTCATACTCATGCATACCTTTTCTGCATCCCCCTTTTCTCCCCCTCTTGTTATTTTGACCTGCCTCTGCCTTGATTGGTGTTATCTCCTGTGCTGTACTTTTTTTTTTTACTTTGCACCTTATCACCCTCCCAGCACCCTCACCATTCTCTCCTCACACTAATGCTTTAATTAGTTTAGACAGGGGGGGATGGGGAAGACATAATGTTCACTTAACATTCAACTGACGTTTAAGTCAACATGCCGCCTTGAAACAGACTGGGTGCATGTGCATGTGAGTGGAGCAGCGTTATGAACGTTTTCATGGACGGAGGACAAGTGGTGGGAGAATCCTGCAGTACCTTCTGCGTCCTTAGACATGTACAGGGAAAGCTTGGTACCATAGGGGATCCGTATAGAATCTGAACCAGGGATAAGGAAGAGAGTTACACAAACTGAACTCACACACAAACACTTCCACGCAGACACACGTGTTCAAGACATGCAGAATCATATGTCATGTGTAAGATCACCCAAAACAGAAAATGACAGCCGCTTCAGCAGCAGTAATTATCCGACCCAGCCCACAAGCATAAAGCCCATCTCTGGCTAATTGCAGCAGCAGCGACAGTTAGATCTCCCTCCCTGTTAGAACTAATGGGACCAGTAAATACTTACTCCCCTCAGGGAGGGAAATTGCCCTGATGATGCAGCAACTGCAGAGAGACCAACGCAACATTGAAAAATATTTTCCTTCACTTTAAAAATCACACTGAAGCATTTCTCATTTGTATATTTTAGGAGCGCGACTACAGAGTCTAATGGACACGAGAGTCGTCGTGGCCTTCAGCCAGTATTCTGTCACTCTGATGGACAAACCCGTAGGTGTAAGACAACACCAACAACAGCTGTACTGAATTAAAAGTCAGCCGTATTTAACCTAGAGGCTCAGCTGTGTTGGGGGGGGGGACTGTTGGATGGTCGAATCTACAATCCAAGGTGGAGGAGGGAGAAGGGAGTGGGCTGAAGCGTTGAAGGGAGGGGCTCGTATTGATCCTTAATCATCCCTGAAAGCTTTCTCTTCCTCTGAGCACATGCATTGTGTCTTTGAAACGGTGTTGGTAGGAATCACATGTTGACTTTCAAATGTCGTCGGACTAAACTGCGTATTACATTTACGTAACAGTTTTTCCAATTCTTTTTTTTTTTTGCCATATGTACACCGGCTGCTATTGTGCAAAATCCCTGACTGACTACTGCAGCAACAAAACACTTCACAGTTCACACCAGCAGGGGTACACAGCCATGGTCTAATGTACTCTTTACCACAGGCCCCAACTGTTTATTGGGGCCTGTCGACCAAACACCCGTTTACATCCAGCCACATCAGCAGCCGATACCAATGAGCAGGAAATACAAAAACGGACGACGTGTCATAAAGTGGGCAAAATCCTAGCTGTTTGATTAAAGTTACCCTTAAACAGTAACTTAATTTGTGATATTTACGTGATATATGGGCAACTTCAATCAAAACCAGAGCTACATGTTTGGTTTATATAAGAGAAAAAACAAGAACTGCTGATAATCAACTGGTTCATTACAGTGCGAGAGAAAGAAGTGGCTCTCAGCCAATCAACAACAAGGAGACACTAAAATGTATCGCTGTATTGAACAGCGAGAAACACATTCAAATGAACCTGGAGGTTAAGAGGAAGAAAACCAAAGGAAGTTCTGAGAGGTCTGCAGGCTGCTCTGACATTTTCAGAAAGGACTTTTTTTCCAAGCACCACTATCTTTAACCTCTGCTACTGCTGCTCTGCAGAGCTTACCATCACCGAGCGGCGAGGGGAAGACGGGCATCTCGTAGCCAGTGGGCGTCTGAGGTGAACTCTGGGAGCTGGTATCCCTTGAACTGCAATTGGAGGCCGAGCTGACTGGAGCTGACGAAAGAAAATATATGTCCGACTGGAGGCAACAGAGAGACAGAGGGGGAGAGAGGGTGTTAGGTGCTTCTGAGAAAATATTGAAATTGAGGCAAAGAAAATAAAGCTGCAGAGTTGGAACGTTGAGATAAGAAATAGATTGTGTGAGAATAGACGACGGGGGAAGGTATTTATTCAAAGCCAGGTGCAGTGTGGTGTGTTTTAAATGATCTGTTTGTATGAATTATGAGTCTATTATTGCTCTGTAGCCATGAATACTGCTGGACACACTTCCCACAGGGGTAATAAAGATTGATTGGAATGAGAGTGCTGAGACAGCTACTTCTACAGCACAGCGTGGCTGGGAAAGACTGCGAGCACTAGTGTACTGTAGATACATACAACATGTTTGTACTAAGTGTCAGTCACCGGGTTATAAAAAAAAATTACGCAAAACTTAAATGAGAATTCAGGCATTCACACCTATGTAATCCCACTCTCTGTCGGACTAGGATTAAAGTTCAAGCATGTACTTGTTAGCAAGATCAGGTCATGGATGAGGTGTGTCGGCTGTGGGCTGTACTGACTCGTGAAGCGGCCAACTGCAGCTCTGGGACCACTGCGGTGTACACGAGGTTGCCATTCACCACCAGTCGAATCTCAATGGAGTCAGTTGTGAATGCCAGGATGTAAGGAAATGCACAAACTGCAAACACAACAGTGACAGCAGAGCATTCATTAAAATAACAGCCATACAGTACAATGGATATCTAGATACATATATGATATCTGAACAAAAGAGTGCCTTCTACTGGACACTATGTGAAACTAATAAGCCTGCTTTTGTTATTAAAAATCAAATTCACTTATATGATGATTATAAGGTGCTACTACATTCACCACTAAGGAAATAAAAATAATGAAAAATGCTCTTTACAACATTACAACTCCTTTACTAGATTCATATTCAACATGAACAAAAATGAAACATCTAACAACTAGATTCATATTCAACATGAACAAAATCTAACGATTCTTCTAAGGGTTTTTTATGAAGAACAAAAATACATTAAATTTATAAAAATGTGCACTTCCCCTCCACATTCACCTGGTTGGAAAGACCAAACCCCTTTCACATTTACAGTTTACTGATGTCTAAAGGTTTTTCCAAAGTGATGCTTCCTTTATTTTGATTAAACACGATGTAACACAAACATTTTATTGATTTATTTTAATTTATTTAAAATGTGTTTTTTTTATTCTTTCTTATTTGACAAACATCCCGATTACTACATTGATTCTACGTAAAGATTAGATGGGCTGTATGTCTGGCCTGCTACTTCTTCCTGTCATTTTCTAGAGATAATTTGAATAATCTATAATAACGATCATTGATCATCGATCAATTTGACTCAAGTAATCTATAGGTTTGTGTTGGTTTCCCTGTTCGTCACATGCCAGCGGCCTGTTCTGACCAATCTTTGAATGTGTGCCCAGTAATAAGCTGGCAGTCTGCCCAGTCTGTAGCCAGTCTGTAGCCAGTCTGTAGCCAGTCTGTAGCCAGTCTCTCCCCTCACGTCAGCTGGGCCTGGTTCCAACTCTTGTGTGACCCTGGGCGGAAACGTAACTATCATAAATATCTAATTTTGTTTGTGTATTGGTTTAAATGCCCCACAATTGTATTAGTGCTTAGAGTCGGTGTATGTGTGTGCTGATGGAGTGGACGTTATTGGACACACGGCCTCTCTCAACATCAGTCTGTCGTGATCACAGACTCAGGTTTCATGATTATTCCCCATTGTGTTTTCTTTTCATTATCTCCTGCATTAATTCTTACACTAACGCACAAACCCTCCACGAACACACAACTGTGGTGGGACTGAATGTCAGCGAACACTCGAGGATTCATGCAAGGTTTCCATGACAACAACAAGCTCCGGCCAGGCCCAGGGTGTGGTCCCAACAGTGTTTCCTTGGTAACCTACCAATAGCGTTGGGCATCTGGTTCCAGCTGAAGTGGAAGTCAGAAGTGTTGGACTGGATCATGGGTGTGGAGCCACTGAACGGACATACTTTCTTATAGTAACAAATATCTGGAAGGACAGACAAGAGCATCGTCTTTGAATAACTCTGCAACTTGGTCTGACAAAAACAGTGCATTTTAACACTGACAGCACTGAGTACAAAAAATACCCATGAGCTGTAATAAAGAGGAAAAAGTAAAAAATAAAAAAATAAAAGATGGCAAAAAAAAAAAAAAAAAAAAAAGATGGCGTAACAGACATAAAGTAAGCAGAGCTTTTAAGTTAAGCTAACCCTAACCCGACATTCATGCGCGAGGTACGGTGATGTAATGATTGTAAACCGTGGACCCTCTGTAGTTGGTCATATTTATAACAGTATGACGATAAGAAGGAAAGACGGAGGGAAAACTCACAGTTGTAACACAACAGCAGACCTGCTTCTCCGTCTTCGTACACATCAATAGCTGCGACAAAATTGACCTGCAGGCAGAGACGGGTCAGTTTAGTGCAGTTGATTCAACTTCTGAGACTTTCATTCGACTTCCACCACGAGATTATTTTTCAGCGTCACAGTCACACAATCTCTTCAGGTGAGGGAGGGTCAATCCTGGGGTATTTAGTCCATCACAGAGTCTCACTCCTATGATAGCTTTAGGGATCGTCATTCAACGACATTTCATGCGTCAGTCGTTACAGAGCAGTTTTAACAGTTGACCTCAGCTCCTGCGGCTTTAAGACAACCAACCATCAAAACTTTAAACAAAAACATTTTTAAAAATCTATTTCCGTTGCTTCACTGATTGATTCAATTTTGTGGCTAAATGGTGCAAACAATTTGCAGCAATATTTATCTATATATATCCATGTATTGTTGATAGTTGAAGCAGAGTAATACTGTTTATTAGAACAGCTGTTCATCTCCCCAGAGGCTCATTTCTCACTTCTATTCCCTCTCGTCTCCATCTGCTCTCCGTGAATGACAACGTGTTGATTCTCCAGAGCAGCGCGGCGATCAGAGAGGTAAATAAAGCAGCTAAGTAGGTCAGGCTCAAGGTCACAGCTCTCCATCACATGACGGGTGATAAAAAAGGGGAAATAACAAAAGAAAAAAAACCAACAGCCGTTAACTGTAACGGTGCCTCACCCTGTTGGCATCGACGTGGTGTAGCCTGTAGGCGTCTCCAGTGCTCTCATTGATCAGGTCAAACTGATGCTTGTAGGCCACACAGATCATGTTGTCATTTTCACCCGTCGGCCCGTCCACCAGCGCCATCACCACAGGCGGGTCGCACAGACAGATCTCCTGATGGGCGGATGGCACAGATCACAGACGACAGATTTGGGGCAGTTATGACGTTTGAAGACACAATGTGTTGTAGTCGGACAAAAACAACATACAACAGAGACTAATGCCTGCATTCACTCATCTCATCTCAAGCTTTTTTTTTAAATGTATTATCTTCAATTTTCCTTTGCATTCACAAACGTCTGTAACATCGTCTCCTTCCCCCTTTATTTTCACTCTGCCTCACCCGTATGTACTGAAACTCCTCCACTGGAGAGTCTGCTCCTGTGGAGACGGCGTTAGAGCCTTCAGACCGTGGCTGTTTCCTGGTGATGAGGAGGAGTTTGTTCCTGATGGCTGCTACTATCCTCAGCTCTGAGCCGTGGTGGGTGTTGATAGAGTACAAGTGACAGCCTGGGACAATTAAAAGGAGGGTTAGAGAGAGAGAGAGAGAGAGAGAGAGAGAGAGAGAGAGAGAGGGGAAGTGAGTTAGACGTGTGCTCCAAGGCATCGTTTTACAGATCAATACCACAGACAGAAAGTGGAAATAAATAAATCACCAACAAGTCAAAACTTCTCAAAACAAAAAAAGTAGAATTTGTGTGGTTATCTGTCATCACTTGTGACATGAGTAGTAGAATAGCAGGCCCTCTAGTGTAATAACACTGAAATAACACATAATAAATAACACCCTTTGTCACAACTATTCTAAACTGGAAACACACACTTTGTCACAACTATTCTAAACTGGAACCAAACTAAGAACGACAGGGAAAAAAAGGGACAAAATGTTTCATCCAAAAACTCGAGACTTGACACAATCAGACAACACTGAAACCTAAGTCTATTCTTTTCTATTATTTGCAGCGTGCTACTTTTTTTCACATCCCACACCTTTGGTTTTCTCCAGCTTATTTTCCCGGCTGTCACACTTGCTTCTGACGAGCTGCCTCTCTTCCAGGCCTCTTTTGAGCGCGCCAAGTCTGAACACATAGAGCCGAGCATCCTTCCCTAAAAAATTGAAGAAAATAAACGCTGCTCGTTACCATTTAAGTTGATTTGGATTTTTAATATAGCATCCACCCACAAACACAAACAAACACGAACGTTCTGGCGGAGGATTAACACAGAGCTTGTTAGGCCACTGCCTCCAGAGAAGAAGACACATCTTTACACCATGCACTTCACCTCCTACAGCAGGTTATTTCTATCAAAACAGAGCCAATTGTTTTTGTGCTCATTAACGTTTGCGGTCTGAGTCTATTGTTGGAGCGCAGCACGAGTTGTTCGCTAACACGCAACAAATGTGTCTTCTTCAAAGATAAAACAAAGTAAAAGAAAAATATGAATATAAATAAGGCACCAAATTACTGCCATATATTCATATATTTCTGTTCTATATTTATACAATAAATAGATGTTTCTGTTGAAATCCAAAGAAGTAAATTCAGGAAGAAATGAAGGGTAAACCGTCAAAATTGAGGAATCATATACAGTGCCTATACATGGATGTATTTCCATATATATGTATACATATGGATATAAATCCATATATAGGTACACATACAAAGAAATACATCCTTATGAATATACAGAAACATAAACAAAACTTGCTTTTTCTGGTGTACAGCCTAACCCTATATATGTATACATACATATATAGTTATATGTATGTATATACACATATATACATACATATACATATATATATACATACATGTACTAAATTAAAAATAAAAATGTAAAGGTTTCTTAAATTTGTCGGAGGTGTACAGCACCACAGATAAGGCGCTCACCTCCCATCATACCCTGCAAACATATTCTTCTAGTCTGACGTCAGAACGACATGATTACTGAGTTCACAAACTTGGTTAAAAAAACAAAACAAATGTGGCTGATAATTCTGCTGTAGGCTGTGGATTATACACAGTGAGGCTTTACTTCCATGAAACACTGTAACATGAAAAAATAGTGTCTTCTTTGCACGGTGAAATCATGGAACAGGTCTTTAATTAATGTTAATTAAATTAGGAGCCAATTTCTCCTAATTTGAGTGGAGAAAAAAAAAAAGGAAATTACTGTAAGCTTCAGGTCATATAGGTCTGCAGGGGTTGTTTCTAATCCTAATATTGGTTTGCCCATCAATCAAGCCTTTCATGTTTTAGCATTTTAGCAACTATGCCTCCCTGCCTCACCCTCTTCCTCCTTCAACACCCACACAAATCTTAAAAGAGATGAAGCTATTGGTTCTCCATAGGTCAGCGTCCTCAGATCACAGCAGGTGATCAATGTGTTCACTGGACCAGCTTAGGTGGGATGGCTAAATAGATTCTCTCTCTCAAAAGCACACAGATGGCAGGGATGAAACAAAGGGAGAGGGGTGGAGGGGGTGAGGAGGGGTGAGGAGAATGCATAGAAAACAGAGTAAATAGGAGGATGACACGAGTGTTGATTTAAACAGCATTTGGTCCTGTCCCCCTGGTCTGAGCCCACCTTTGTCTGCCCTGGTGATGAGCAGGTCCTGAGGCTCCAGAACGTGCAGCTGCTTCACCACCATTGTTCTGTCAAAAACCTGCACCGGGGGCAGAGCCTGCGTTTCTGAAACACGACGCATGTGTCAGAATAAAGACAAATGACGGATCAGAGAAGTGTGTGTGTGTTTTCAGGTGCACTCTGACTCACCAGTGTTGGGGAGCGCTGGATCAGGGCCTGGAGAACAGACAGTGTTATCGTCATGTTGGCTGCTAGCCTTAATGTTTTGCTAAAGGCAGTATTGACTGAGTATGGAAGGGGCTATTTGTCTGGAAGAACATGGGGGATATTGATCAGGGCGAACTCACCGTCCAGCAGCATTACCCCCGCTGTGTCTGTGGCGGCCAGCAGAGACTGCTGACCCCAGGAGTCAGCGCACACAATCTCGTAGGGGAAAGTGCTGCAGAAGGACTGGGACTCCCAGGGCTGCAGGCAACACACATATGAAAAAGAAAACACAGAAAATGATATCTGCAGCTTCATGAGTTTATGTTCAAGGTGACCTTGAATCTTCATTAACGTAGGTTTTTACTACGGTAAAAAAAAAAAAAATCAGGCAATTTGTTTAGTTTTTCTAAGACAAAAAATAAACAAGAAGTGTTTTATATTATACATGTCAATCATTATTACAGAAGCTCACCTCTTTCCTGCACAGACCAGTCGTGACCAGACTAGTTGGAGCGTCTCCTCTTACGATGGTCTTCAGTTTTAGAGCCTGTGTAGAAATATCATCGTACAATGTTTGTGTTAGTTTGATAAAAAAACCCAAAGTAAAGCATATGTGTTTACCAATATGTAAACTATAAGCAAAAACATCATAGCATTGCAATATATTTTGTGCATTTCAAACTATTATAAAACTGGAATGCTCAATCTGAGAAAAAATATGAAAAACAAAGATATTATTCAATTCTAGATCAAAACAATGTTTTTATCACCTCTATCGTCAGTGAGATAAACAACATAAACAATAACATGAACATATTTAATCTGGTCCAATGCTTAAATAGAGTTACATGTGAACCGTGAGACTCCTCTGCTGAAACACATCAGTAACCCTAAACTGGCTGGTCACCAACGTTCACTTGTTTGTTGTGATGCTAACAGCTAACAGCTGTGACAGACTCGCTAAGCAAACTGTTAACATTAAAAGAAAATATATGAATATTCATTTAGAAATAAATTAGCACAAATGTCCAGCCAGTGAGCGTCCGGTCGCATTGACAGTTTCTCGTCCAACAATCCCGAGTGCCTTCTTCCATTCACGTATCTACATAAACGGTCAATCTGGAGAACTAGAAATCAATCAAGAACAAGGTGGAGAGCGAACAATGCCAATTTCAGCGACAAATAAAATATTCCAAGTCTGATATATTGAGCTTGTAAAGATCGCATTTAACTCTCCCCAGAAACAAGTTGTCAATTTTGGTTTTAAAACATCTCAAACAAAAGCTGGAAAATCAATGACTTTGTTTTTTTTTTTTTTTTTTTAGCAAAACATATCAATACCTCAGCTCAGTGTTTACAAGCAGAGGGTGAAACTAACAAAGTGAAAAACAGCACGAAAAATACACAACGGTTGAAGATGTAGGTGGAAACAATGAAACGCAGGCGACACAATTAAACCAAACGTCTGCTGCGTCACCATGTATTCTGTGAGGTCGTTTTAAACCGACGACGTGGCAGAGATGTGGTGAGAACACGCTTTAATTTCACATTCACTCACCTTCATTTAGTCCTTACTGTTAGACACTAATGACCTCTCTGTTTTATTTAACCTTTGACCTCAAACCGGACCAAAACACCACAGTTTCCTCCAAACAGGACAGTCACTTAATGATTAAATGCAGTGTTTCGGAATTGTTTTGGTTCTTTCCAATGTTGACATTTAGTTATTTTTC